GGAGGAAGAGGAGGAGGAGGAGGAGGTGGTAGAGGAGGAGGAGGAGGAGGAGGAGGAGGAGGATCAAAGTGATGGCGGCATGGTCATCGAAAACAACGACGCCAGATCTCGCTCGCTCATCTCCGCGTCGTCGAGCACTCGCGCGCGCGCGATGACGCCGTCGTCACCGAAAATCATCCGCAACGTCGCCGGGATCAAAGGACTGCACGTCCTCCTCGACGCGTTCGACGAGGCCGTCGAGAAACGCTTGTTCGCGTCGAACACGCTCTTCCCCAGCGGTCCGGACTATTACAAGAAGAGCAAGCGCCAGGGCGGGCAAGTACACCAGCTCGGCGGCTCCAGGGACTACCCCGAAGATCTCGTCCGCCTCGCGAACGTCGTCCGCGACACCAGGCTCTACGAAGGCTACGTCACCCCGGACTACTGCCTGCCGCTCGTGTACCCGACGAAGGCTTCGTTCAAGGTGAGCTCGCGTCGGTCTTGTCATCGTATCATCGCGACGCGACGCGACGTTTTTTTTGTTCACTGTGACGTCTGACTTCCTCCCATCCCCCCGTCGTTCGTCCCCTCTCCGCAGGATCACTTCGACGGGCGCGAGCGATGGGGCGAGACCGTCGTCGGCGTGTCGCTCGGTCAGAGCAGCGTGATCTACTTCTGCCCGGACTGCAGGACACAATCTGGTAAGGCGCTGAGCGACGCCGTGCGAAGTCGCAGAAACACGCAGTACACGAGCTCGGACGGCCCCGTCAAGACGGAACTGGTGATCAAGGAGACGAATGTATCCTTCGCGATCGAGATCGAGCTCCCGCGGCGTAGCATATACATCATGAGCGAGAACGCGAGGTACGAGCTCAAGCACGGGATCAGGGCGGTGAAGAAGCCGGCGGCGGGGACGGCGCCGAGTTGGAACCCGCACGGTGAGCGCCGGTCACTGACGCTGCGCGCGCACAAGGCGTACTCGAACGTGTACCTCGAGCGCTTGGCGAAGAAACGGCCGAACGATCAGAAGATACGAGATAGGATCGATGCGCAGAATAAATACGGGACGGACTACAAAGGCATGTCGGAAAAACGCGCGAAGAAGGTCCTGAAAGCCGCGTTGAAGCTGCCCACGAAGCTTCGGTTTAAGGATCTGCCCGGCGCGGGCGCGGGCGTGTCGCGGTCGTTCGTCGGCAGCGGGTATCGCCTCGGTGGCGGTGGTAGTAGCGGTGGAGCCGTCGGCGGTGGAACGAAGCGCGCGCGAAGCGAGGCTGGAGTCATCTGCATCTCGGACGACGACGACGACGAAGCCGGTGGCGGCGGCGGCGAGTCCCGCGGGAAAGACGTCGACGCGGACGACGAACGCGAGATCGCGCGCAAGGCGCGTATCAGTCGCTTCGAGTGAACGAACGAACGAACGAACGATGTTTCTAGCGATGTAACGTCGAACTGCACGAGCCTCGCGAACGTCGTACTCGTTTCATCGCGCGTAATAGTACTGTAATATTTCACGAAGCCGCTCGACTCCGACGCTCATCACGTGGTGGGCGACGTCGTCCCTCCCCCCATCCGCGGCGCGATCGCCGGCGTCGGCACCCTCGGCACCCTCTCCCCCTCGAACGACCCCGCGCCGCCGTTCATCGCGTCCAACGCCGTCATCGTCGGCTCCACGAACCCGGTCTGCCTCAGGATCGCCGTGCGCATCTTCAGCGCGTCTCTACCCTTGAGCGTGTGCCCGCGTCCGCTCACCACGCTGCCGCCTAATAATAACTGGTCCATTCCAGACGCCGCGTCGCCCCAAAACGCGCGCTCGCTCACGCTCCCGGTCCCGCGCGCGCCGTACGTCGACGCGTACACGTGCGGCGGGATGAACATCGCGTCGTCGTCGTCCGGGAGCGAGGACGCGAGTAGCGTCGCGATCCCCCCGCCCGCGCGCGCAGCTTTCGCTGTTCGCGCGTCCGACGGCGACGGCGACCCCCTCTTCCCAGCCGTCTCCGCGTCAGCCGCCCGCCCGGGCGGTCGGACGATCGCGCGCGGGAGCGAGGAGTGCCGCCACGCAGGGAGGGAGCCGTACGTCGCCGACGGGACGCGCGGCGTGAGCTCCATCGCGAAGTGGTCGCGTCGTCGGCTCACGTCGTGGTGGCTCCTGAAGTGAACGAAAAAGAAGCGGTCAGAAGAATATTCGCAAGATGCGCACCGCGGTCCCACGGGTGGTGGGGACGACGACGCGCGGCGGGAGAAGCGAGCGCGGAAGAGGAAGCCGGGCGGCCGCGCGACGGACGGGGAGATATAGACGGTCGCCAACGGCGTCGCCGGGTATCGTTCGAACGAGCCCGCGCGTCTTCGCAGAGGGTGTCGAAGGCGCCGAGAGAGGGGGGGGGGAAACGGATGGACGCTCGCTCGGGAGACGCGCGGGCGGCGCACCCTTCGTCGTCGTCTTCGTCCTCGTCGTCGCTGCTCACGGACGCTCGCTCGGCGTCGAGGTCGTCTCTCTCCTCCTCGTCGCCGTCCATCGTCCCCCAGACGTCCTCCTCGCAGAGCTCGAGGAGGTCTTCGGCTTCGCCGTCCGCCGCGCCCTCGACGTCGTCGTCGTCGTCGTCATCGGTTTTCTTCTTCGTCGTTCTTCCCCCGATGTCGACGACGACGACGGCTTCTTCGGCCGCTGCTGCCATCTCGTCCGATAGCAGCGTGAATACGCGCGCGAGAGAGACCGACCCCGCTCGGAGCACACGCGCGTCGCGTCGAGTCTCGAGTGGGGAAGTGAGCGCCATGCGTCGTCGCCGTGGCTTTTTATCCGCGACGAAAGGACGCTGCGCTGTCGGACGGCACGTCAGCGTCACCGCACGGCAGCCGCGAAAGGACCAAACGCTGACGCGGCAGATTTATCTACGATCGACTGCCGATTTACCTTTCAGCAGATACGATGAAAGCGAAAAAACCTTTCAAACGACGCGCGTTTGATCGGCAAAAAAAAATAGATTTCGGCGGGAATCGAGCCCGGGATTTCCTTGGACATGACGAGACTGCTTTAGGAAAAGGATTTTTTGTCATCGCCACCGCACGAAGTGCTCCATTCGACCTGAAACTCCATGGAAAGCGGCGTCACGTCATGTAGACCACATCGCGGGGCAAAAGATGATCCCGCTGGGAGTCGAGCCCAGGTTTCTGCGGCCACAACGCAGGGTACTGACCACTATACGACAGGATCCTTTGACATACCGTGCAGTAGCACGGCATTGGCATAATCGGCGGTTTTTAGACATATATACCCGCCCTCTCAGCTTCTCACTGCTGGAAAAGCGAAGCCAAACACGCGGCATTTCGCACTCTCCTCGCGCGCTTTCGCAGCGAGACGCCGCGCTCGACCCAGAACCCGGCGGTCCATCCCTCGCGCCGGAGTGAGTGAGTGGCGGGTCATCCGTCCACGATGCCGTACCGCGCCAGCGAGCTCGCGTCCGAGGTCGCGCAGGTACGACCGCCGCGTCGCTCCGCTCGATCCCCGCCCCCCTCGCGCATTCATTTCATTCGTCCCGCGCCGTTCGCTGCGCGGGATCCCGGCACCCGCCATTCTGACGCGCCCCCGCGTTGACGCGCCCCTCCCTCCATCCCTCCCCCTTCCGCGCCGCCGCAGGCGTTCCTCACCGCCCTGGACACGTCGCTGTCGCGCACGTACCGCGAAGAAGAGCGCTCGTGGCGAGGCGAGGACCGGGAATGGCGCGCGCAGGACATGGACTTCCGCGTCGAAGAGCGCGACTGGTGGCACCTCGAGCACCTCTGGAGGCAAGAGAACCGAAAGTGGAGGCTCGAGGACATCGAGCAGCGCGTCCTGGAGAACGCGCGATGGGTGTGGCTGCGATACGCGGAGAAGAACCGCCGCGACGTCGAAGAGAAGAGCGAGCAGCTGAAGAGCATATCCAACCTCAGCGCGCTCATCGGCGGCTTCGCCGTCGTCGCCTTCGTCGAGCTCCAATTCCACGACCCGGAGACGCGCCCGTCGCAGAGCGAGGCGCTCATCACCGCGTACGCGGCGACGACCGCGCTGACGGTCGGGCTGATGCTCAACTCCATGGTGCTGTGCTCGTTCATGCTGTGCTCGATCCTGCGGAACGGGAAGACGTACGTCAGCGAGGACGAAGAGGCGGAGTACCTGTATCGATGCCGGCGGTTCGCGTTGGAGTTTACCTCCGGGGATAAGCCGCCGCTGCCAAAGCGTTCGTTCGAACGGCACTGGGAGACGCGGTGCGAGGACGACTGGCGGCACGCGTTTCGAATGTTCACGTGCGGCGTCCCGGTGTTTATGGTCAACATCGCGTGCATGGCGTGGCTGAAATTTAACTACAGCTACGCCGCCGCGGGGACGGCGACGGCGGTGGCGGTGTGCGCGACGGCGGGGTGGGCACGCACGCAGATGAACTGGGGCTGGCACATCTCGCGTCGATACCACGGGCGGGGGAACCACCCGGGCGTGCGCGGCGGCGGCGGCGGGAGGGACGGCGGGTGCGGGCTGCCGTTCGATTGGCACGCGCGGCCGGACGCGGTGGTGAAGCAGCCGAGCGGCGCGGGGGGGGCGGCGGCGGCGGCGGGGGCGCCGCCGACGCCGCCGTCGAACGCGAACGCGCACGGCGGACTGAACAACCCGTTCGACGACGACGCGCGGCGCGGTCCCGGTCTCGACGCCGAAGACGACGCCGACGACGACGATGACGTCGCGTCCCCGGAGGAGGTCGAGCTCGAGCGGTCGTTGGGGCTCGATGATCTCACCGCGCGGCGAATCGCGAGCGCGACGGATCGAGCCGCGTCGACGACGTCGCCGGCGGCCGGCGTCGGCGCCGGCGCTGGCCTGCCCCCGCCGGTTCGCCCTCGCGCGGAGTGGGGCGACGCGCGCGAGAGCTTGGACCGCGCGTCGAGGACGAGCGAGGAGGTGAAGTTCGTGGAGCGGACGTCGCCGACGGCGCGCGACGTCGCCGCAAGGCGCGAGCGCCGGGCGAGCGAGGAAAAAACGGACGCTTGCGGCGGCGGCGCCGGCGGCGATCCGTTCGAGGCCGCCGCCGCGGCGCTGAGCGAGAGCGCGAGGAGAGAGGAGGCGGAGGAGAGCGCGCGCGCGTCATTGGGGGTCGCGCAGGGGGAGTCGTGGAACACGTTCGGAGGCGGCGGCGGCGGCGTCGGCGGCGCGAAGTGAGCTGAGCTCCTCCAGTACACGTAGTGTTAGCGTCGTGAGCGTGAACGAGCACTGCAGCTGCAGAACGCGAACGCCTCATCAGCGACTCGCCCGCGAGTGCATTTTCCCCGAAAAGAGCCGAAAAGTCGCTGCGCGCCCGCGCTCGGAAACCACTGCGGAGCGCGCCTCCGTCCCGTCACGATGGCTCTTCGTCAAGCGATGAGGCGCCTCGGCGCGCTGTCGTCGCAAACGTCCACCGCCGCGAGAGCGTTCACGACGTCCGCGCCTCGCTTGGAGGCCACGGAGGCGCAGAAGGAGAGCATCAAATCGTTCATGGACGCCTTCGACCAGAACAAGCCGATCCCGACGATGGACCTGCCGTCGACGCCGTCGAACTTCATGAGCCCCGAGCGCGAGGTTCCGGCGACGCCGCCGGAGAAGATGACGCTGAACTTTTACATGCCGCACGAGATCCAGTTTAAAGACGCGGAGGTGGATCAGGTCATGATCCCGGCCACCTCCGGGGATTTCGGCGTCCTCCCCGGGCACGTCCCGACCGTCGCGCAGCTGCGCCCGGGCGTCGTCTCCGTGCAGCTGAACAGCTCCGAGACGCAAAAGGTGCGCGCGCTTCTGCGATGACACGCTCCGCAGAGTCCGCAGCCGCGATATCGCGCGCTCGGGGGGATCGAGCGCGGGCTCGCGCGCGGGTTTCCGGGCGCGCGATCGACGCCCGCGAACCCGCCATCGATCGGCGCCTCCCGTTTCACTGCAGCGACCGTTCCCACAGCACGCGCGCTGCGATCGAAAATAAACCCTAGGGGGCAGAGGCATCTCATCTCATCTCTCTGACGCCCTCTCCCCCCCGTCCCTCGTCGTTCCCCCGCGTCTTCAACAGTACTTCGTCAGCAGCGGGTTCGCGTTCGTGCACGCCAACAGCGTGACGGACATCATGGCCGTGGAGGCCATCCCCCTGGAGCAGCTGGACGACGCGGCGGTGAAGAAGGGACTCGCGGATTTCAACAACAAGCTCGTCAACGCGAAGGACGACTACGAAAAGGCGGCGGCGCAGATCGGGATCGAGGTGTGCGGCGCGATGAACCACGCGCTGGAGGGGAAGTGATTGATGATCGGGAAGAGGGAGCTAGGCGATGAAAACGTCGCTTTGTAATTTGGTATATTCTTAGAGAGCAAACAGCGGAAGAAGAGACTCTACTCTCTTTTGGTACCCCGTCCATCCGTCCACCCGCCCGACGTCTCACGAGCTCAGACCGAACCCGCCGCCGGTGAACCGCGCCTGGTTCGGGTTGTTGTTGTAACTCGACATCGTCTTCGTCATCTCCGGCTCGAACGCGCGCTCGCGCTCGAGCGCCTCGCGTCGCTTCGTCTCGTAGTACCGCTTCTTCAGATCCCCGAGGTCCCGCGTGAGCCGGTCGATCTCGTACTTGTACTCGGACGTCTGCGTGACGTACATGTTGAGTTCGCTCGCCATCCCCTTCATCTGCCGCGTCTTCTCTCGCAAGTTTTGCTGGTACACGCTGAGCTGCTCCGCAACCTCCGGGCCGGGCTGTCGCGCGAGCACCGTCTTGAGCTCGACGTACAGCTTCTCCTTCTCCTGAATCAGCAGGTCCTTCTCCACCACCTCCTCCGTCTTGGCGATGAGCCGCCGCTGCAGCGTCTGAATCTTTTGAATCATCTCAAACGTCGCCGGGTCCGAGCCCTCGAGCTTCCTCCACCGGTGCACGTTCAGCGGGTTCTCGAGCTCCTCCGACAGCGCCTTCACCTTAGTCCTCTCGGACAGGAGCTCCCTGCCCAGGTGATGCACCTCGCGCTTCAGCACGTCCACGTCGCCCACAGAGTTTCGCAGCACCGCGAGCTCGCGCTTGAGATCCCCGAGCTTGATCTTCAGAACCCTCAGCTCGTTCAGACGCTCGCTGTACTGAATCTGCCCCTTGTTCAAGATGCTCTGCTGTATCTTGATCTTCTCGTACAGCAGCGCGAGCTCGTCGTTGCGTCGGATGAGCTGCGTCCCGAGGACGTCGCGGTCGTTGACGACGACGTCGTGCTCCTTCTTCTGCCGCGCGCGCTCTTGATCCGCCTCGTTGATGACGTGGTTCAACTTTTGCATCTCCGCGCGTTGCGAGCTGATGGCGCTCTCCGCCTCTTTGATATTCTGCAGCGCTTTGTTGAGCTCGAACCGAAGCGTCTCTTTCTCCTTCTCCACCTTCATGTAGTCAAAGTGCTCCTTCACCATCGCCAGGTCTTTCGCGCTGATCTCCTCCTTGAGCTGCTCGATCTGGTGGTTCATGATCTTAAACTTGCGCTTCATCTCGAGAATCTCGTCTTGCGACTCGAGAAGGTTCTTGCTGTACGTGTTGCGGTCCGTCCGCGTCGCCTCGTACAAGTTCTGCTGCTGCTTCAGCCGGTTCTCGCCGTCGCTGATGCGCTTCTGAAGGTCGATGATGGCGATCTCGCGAATCTTCACCTCCTCGAGCGCGCCGAGATACCGCGCCGTCGCGTCCGACGCCTCCCCGCCGTACTTCTCCCTCTCTTGCTCCAGCTTGAAGATCATCTTCGCCTGCTTCTGCGCCTCCATCTTGTACCCCTGAATCTCCTGCTCCAGCGTCTTCCTCGTGTTCTCGTTCACCTTGACGAGGTCGCGCTGTTCCACCGTCGCGCTCTCCGCCTGCGACTTGAGCTTGGTGAGGATGTCGCGTTCGCGCTTGAGCTCGTGCTGCTTCTTCACCTCCGTCTCCGCCTGCTTCCGCTCCGCTTCGATCTGCCGCTCGAGCTCCGCGATCGTGCGCTTCAAGTCGTCGCGGTCGCGCTCCGTCTCGCGCTTCTCCTTCTCGACGCCCTGCAGCTTCGCCACCGTGGCGTCGCGGATTTTCCCCGCGCGCAGCGCGTCTTGTTTGATGCCGCTCAGCTCCGTCTCTCTCGCCTCGAGCTCCGCGCGCTTCGTGCCGTTCTCCGTCACGAGCTGCGCGTTCGATCGCATCTGCTCCTCGAGCTCGGTCGTCAGCTTCTGCAGCTTCTCGTTCAACGCGCCGTACTCCTTCTTCGCGCGCTCCGTCGCGCCTCTCTGTTCCTTAAGCATGCCCTCGAGCTTCGCCGCGGCTTCCTCCGCCTCTTTGATCGTGTGCGTCTTCGCCTTGATGTCGTGCTGCTTGTTCTCGAGCTTCGTCTTGAGCTCCGCGAGCTCCTTGTCGAGGCGCTCCTTCTTGCGCGCCTCGCGCTCGCCCTCGAGTTTCTTCGACTCCACCTGATCTCTCAGCTTCCCGAGCTCGTCCTCCAAGCCTTGCTTCGAGCTCTCCGCCGTTCTCAGCCGCTCGGACATCTCCGCGACTTCGTTCCGCAGCGACACGATCTGGTCCACCTGCGCGTCTCGCTCCGCCGCGAGCGCTTCTTTCGCGGCGATGAGCTCCTCCACGGTCTGGTCCATCCCCGCGGTCATCGCGTCCGGGCCTCTCTCGACGACGCTCCCGAGGTTGGCGATCTCCAATTTTAACCCCTGGATGCTATCCTTCGCGCGCGCTTCCTTCTCGTGCGACGCGTCCACCATCTTCCACGCCTTCTCGATCTCCGCCTTCAGACCCGCGATCGTGTTCTGGTCGTCCTCGCTGAGTTTCAGCGCGGAGCTGACCTTCGCGGCGTTGTTCACGATGTCGGCGTTGAGCTCGGTGCATTTCGCGAGCAGACGCGTCTCCGACTCGTGGCTCTTCTTCAGCGCCTTGTGGATCTTCTCGTACTCCACGCGGAAGCGGTCGAGCGATTTGTCTCCGCTGACCTCTTTCAGGAACTGCGACGCGACGCGACGCGGGCGGGAGGGAGGGAGGGACGACGAGGGAAACGTCAGAGGAGGAGGGGAGACGCGTCGTCGTCGTCGTCGTCATCGTCGTCGTCGTCGGGGCGGGAATTCGTTCGCGGCCAAATCTGGGTGAGGAGGAGGGGTCCCAATTTCGTCGCGCCCGTCGCGGCCGACGCGCGGCGCGGACGCGCCGCGCGACGCGCGGGCGCGAACGACGCGGGCGGACGCGCACCTCGTTGAAGTCGCGCTCGAGGGCGGCGAACGCCGCGGCGCTCTGCGCCAAGTCGTCGCTCTCGTCCGCGCCCATCTCTATCTAGTCCTTCGTTCGATCCCCGCTCCAGCTCTCGCCTCGCCCTCCTAAAGTGGCTCGCGACTCGATCCCCCGCGCGTCCGCGCCGCGAGGTTCGCCCGCGCGCGGTCCCTCCTCCCGCGCGCGCGACGCCGCCGCGGTCGTGCGGTCGCGTTGACGCGCGCGCGAAGTGCTGTCTCGCCGCGTGCGTCCGCCGCGCCCGCGCGTATGGCGCGCGCCCTTCGCCCGCTCCCAAACTCGGAAGTCGGGCCAGGCACGTTTACGTTTCCAGCGCTCGCGTCTGGAAGGGCGAAATGTTACCCACACAGATCCTCCGGCGCCGACATGGAGGACGCCGACATGGAGACGGACGACGATCCGCGCCCTCCGGAGCTCCCCGACGAGCTCCTGCAGGTCGTGATGATGCACGCTGACGACCCGATCGACCTCTTGCGGTTCGCGCGCGTGTCGAGGTCGTGGCGGCGCGTCGCGGGACGGCAAGAGGTGTGGCGTCGCGCGTATCGGAATCGATGGCTCTCGGGAGCGCGCGACGACGACGACGACGACGACGACGACGAAGACGGCGGCTTCGCGTACGCTTTCGCGCTCGCGCTCGACCGCCCCGACACGTTCAGGCTGCGAGCGCCGACGGACGACGCGTCCGACGAAGACGACGTCGAGCGAATCTTCGCGCCGGACCCCTCGCGCAAGGACGTCCGCGCGCTGTCGCTGTTCAACCGTCGCGTCGAGTTGGAAATCCTGCGAACGCTCGACGACGCGGTCTGGCCGACGGCGCGAGCGAGAGCGCGCGAGCGCCTGCGTCGCCGTCTCATCCCGTCCGCGCGCTCGAGCTTCGACGCGTCTGAGTACGACGACAACCCGAACGCGGACGAGATCTTCTCGCACGCGTGCGCGGTCGCGCGGTGGGCGCTGCGGAGACGCGTCGGGTGGGACGGGTCCAAACCCCTCTCTCGCGCGCGCGGCGCGGCGGAGCTGATCGCCACCCTCGTCGAGTTCGAGGTCGCGATCGAGATGGGCGACCTCGCGATGGAGGCGATGGACTTCGACGAAGAAGAGTATCGCGATCGCAATGTGAGGGTAAACGACGACGCGGAGACGACGGCTCGCGCGAGCGAAGAGATGGCGTCGACGGAGGAGGGCCTCGCGCACATCGCGCGGCTTCTCGACCACGACCTCGACCCTATGAGGATACACGCGTGCTTGGATAAGATCGGCGCGGAGTTTAAGCGCAGGCTCGACGAGAGCGGCGCGTACGCGGAGGGCGAGGACGGCGCCCGCGAGATGCGAGCGAACCCGAGGCTGGCGCTGGAGATCCTCAACGCGTTTCTCTTCGACGACGAGCACGGCGCGAGGCAACCGGCGGAGGCGGCGTGGAACCCCAGGGCGGAGAAGTACGAGATCGCGGGCGGCGACCTCATGGACCCTCGCGTCGAGGTTCCTCGCTCCGGCGGGCTGCGGTTCGTCGGGAACGGCGCGAGGTATTACGACCCGGAGAACAGCTCGTTGGCGTCCGTGTTGCGTCGGAGGGTGGGCATTCCGATCACGTTGTCCGTGGTGTACGCCGCCGTGGCGCGACGCGGCGGGCTGACGATTCGCTTCCTCAACGTTCCCGGGCACTTCGTGTGCGGCGTCGCGAGCGGCGCGCGCGTCCCGAACGCGAACGTCAGCGCGGGGGGGGAGATCTCCATCATCGACGTCTTCAACCAGGGCGCGACGACGGATCCCGTGAGCGTCGACGCCGTGCCGCCTGAGCTTCTCCGTCGGACGCCGCCGCCGGACGTGTGTTTTCGCGCGCTGAACAACCTGCGCGTGATATTTCAGCGGCACGACGGCGCGGGGAAGTACAGCAACGCGTACGCGCACAGACCCGAGGTCGTGAACCACTCGCCGAGGCGACGGGCGACGCTGTACTCGCTGTTCGCCGCGATGCGCGCGCTGCAGCCGGTGCTCGAGTTTGACCGAGAAGCTGGGAAAATCGCGCTGGAGTTTGGGCACCGGGAGGACGCGCTGGAGTGCGGCGTGGATCCCGCGGACGTGGATCGACTCGTGAACCCGGCGACGGTCGCGCTGAGCAACACGAGCGTCTTCGATCGCGCCGCGCGTCCGCGGGCTCTCGAGATCGGGGCCATCGTGGTCGTGGCCCCGCCCAAGGACGGGTCGGAGGCGCGTTGGGTTGTGTGCGGCTTCTTCGACGTCGCCGCGGAGGGCCTCGAGGATCAATTCGCGACCGGGGACGACGACCCGGATGGGGTGTACTACAACGTGATGCGTCTCGACGACGACGCGGAGGAAAGGATCTTTGGCGTCGCGGACCTCTTGCCCGCGTACAAAGACTGCGACGTCGATCTCGGGTTCCCGTATCGCGCGCCGTTAGAAGAGCAACCGAATCTCGTGCACGCGCTGGGCGCTTACTTCGAGTCGTACGACCCCGACGCGCGGAGGTTCGTCCCGCACGCGTTCACGCGGTACAAGTACGGGTACGACGCGCCGAGCGCCGCGCCGGAGCACGTGCGATGATAGGTACGAGTAGCGAATATCGACTGAGACTGTAAAAGTAAACTTAACTAAAGTAATAAGTCGCTCGACGCGGACGTCACGCCCTCGGCGAGCTCGCCGTCGGCGTGGAGGACGCCGCCGCCGCGCGTTTGATCCGCGACGGCGTGTTCCTCAGGATTTTCGACGACCGTTTGAGCTGCAACTGCACCGCCGGCGGCGCCGTCCACTCCGGACCGCCGGTGTCGAGCTTCTGGTTCACCATGAGCTCCGGGTTCGCGGGATATATCTCGTCGAAGAGGTGGTACTTGTCCACGAGACGGTCCACGGTGGCTTTGCTCGCGTTCACCGGGACGTAGGGCCAGTACATCTTCAGACGGCCTCTGTCGAGCTCGTTCTTGGAGACCCCGAGAAGACGCAGCTCCACGTCGAGGCTCAAGCTCTCCCACTTCTTCTTCAGGCTCGGCGCCTTCACGAGCTGAGCCTCGTCTTCTTCGTCCGCCTCGTCGTGCACGTGCTCCGGCGCGCGCATGGTCCCCGAGTCCGACATCTCCTTCCCGTGCGCGTCCCGCCGCCCCATGTTGAACCAATACGACGTGTGATCCGTCCCGCCGTCCTCCAAAGTTTCGTCTCTTCGAATCCCCAACAGACGCTTGATTGGGAAGATCTGAAACGCCGCCCACATCGTCACGGCGTAGATCCACAAGTTATCGTCGTCGCCGTGGTAGTACCACCCTAAACCCATCAAGAGAACCTGCGCCAGGTTGATCGCCGCGAGGATGCGAACGAGCTGCGTCGTCGTCTCGTTGCGCAGCTTCGCCGGTCGCTTGTGGTCCCTCAAGACCCAGTACTTGTCCGCCCAGTACGACACGAACAACCCGCTCACGGCGAGGACGTACGACAGCGGCAGAACGGGCCCGTAGAAGAGCGCGAGCGCGATCGTCTTGCACAGCGCCGCGTACTTCTCGCCGAACGAAAACGACCTCGGGACGATGAGCTCGTCGAGGGTGGCTTGCGTCCTGGCGAGCTTCGCCATCTGCTTCTTCACGAGTCCGCCGATGTCCATCGCGTAGATGAGGTCTGGGACGAACGCGTTGAAGAACTGGAGCCAGAACGCGCCTTCGACTAAGCCGCCGGGGGCGTACCACAGGCACCGGCCGTGCCTGTCGTCCGTCCGCGGGCACGAAGAGTTTAAAATCGGAATCACGAGGCAGTTCACCATGTGGATCACGGTCAGGCGCGACATCAAGTAGCACTCGCGGTCCGTTCGCGTGTGAAATCTGCGGAACTTCGCGATGCCTTTCACGATGAGCGTCAGCAGAAGGTTCATGAGGATGATCACGAGCGAGGCGAGCGCGGAGAGGACGCGCAGCCTGATTTGAAGCGTCCAGTCCGTGTCGCCGCCGTTGGCCAACCTGTCGATCGTGTACCTGTCGTACGCGACCACCCGGTAATTCTGCCTCAGCGTCTCCATGATCCATTGGATGAGAGAGGCGACCCCGAGCGAGAGGAGGATGGTCGCGTTGCCGTAGAGCGCGCGCTCGTTGCGCTCGCCTCCGCGCATGCCCGCGAAATTTTCCCAATAGACGTCGCTCGGCTCCGGAGGCGGATACACTCCGATTTTTTTTCCCTCAAACGTCGGCCGCTCCCGTCGCGCGAAGCAGTTCGACGCGAGCTCGTAAAACTCCTCCGTGTGGTGGTCGTCGAGGCAGTTGTTCGCGTGTTCTTCGTAGTTGAACGTCACGAACGCCTCGCCCAAGTTTGCAAAGGCTTCCGGGTCCTCCAACTCTTCGAAGACAGCCGCCTCTCGCGCTTCAATCTTTTCCCGCAACCGCGCCACGCCCTCCTCTCGCATCGGGTCCACTCTGCCGAGCTGCGTGAGCTTGAACATCATCAAACGAATGTCGTAAAAGTGTGACCACTTCGCGGACATCCTCGACGCCTTCCACTCCTCGATCTCGCGCAAATGCCTCTGCTGCTTCGCTAACACCATCTCGCTGTGTAACACTTTGCCCAGAGTCGTCGTCATCGACACGCTCGCGACTTCGCCGTAGTGCGCGAAAAACGCGGCCACCTGCTCGCGCGTGTACGTGTTCCGCCCCAACCCGCGCACGTACACCGCGTAGTCCCCCACCGTGAGCGCGCGCTTGTTCACCTTCCTCGCCTTGACGAGCTGCCGGTGATGAAAGAACGACTGCCACACGATCATTATGAACGTCGTGACGATCTGCATCGCGTACACCGCCGTCGGCGTCGCGTTCGAATCCAACCTCAAGCTCGACTGCAGCGTCTCCGCGCAGCACCTGCCCGCCTGCTCCGCGCTCAGGCCGCTCAGCGTGCACGGAAGGTACGTCCCGCACAGGTCGGATGCGGAGGACGACGCGGCGGTCGTCACGGTGATTTCGCAGTCGGTCGGGCAGTTGTAATACGACGCGAGCTTCCAGTCGTTGCACCGCGATCCGTGCGACGTCTTCAGGATGTCCGACGGCGTCTGCACGCGCTCGCACGCCACCTCGGTGACGGCGCCCGCCGAGGTGATCTCTCTGACGTTGAAGTTGGTGGACATCGCGTTGTGCTCGCGCGCGTCCGCCATGACGTAGCAGCCGACGACGACGAAGAGCACGAGCATCAGAACGGCGAAGTGCGCGAACGTGTCGAAGTACAGCCCGAGGCCTTGGGACTGCTCGCCGAGGAGCTCGTGCGGGGCGAGGAGCGAGAACGGGCGCTTGCTCGACGGGATGTACACGCCGCTGCGGGGTGGGGCGAAGACGAGGGACGCGGGTGAGGACGGAGGATGGGGAGGCGAGCGCGATGCGCGAGATGGGCGAGATGGTCGCGTTCGGGGCGGCGGATCTCGATCTCGTCGCACCGCTCGTCCGCGTCGAACTGGTACAGCCGCAGCCTCTTCGCGCGGTTGCGCGCGAGCTCGATGGAGACGACCTCTTTCCCGTCATCGTCCTTGCGATACGTCACGGGGTTGAGAATGCGCGAAAGCTTCGCCTTCTCCGCGGACGGCGACAGCGGCGCCATGTCGCGCGCCCGCGAAACTGAACGGTCGCTGAGCTGAGAGGACGCGGACGGCGCGGCTGCAAGCTGTATTTCCACGATGTTGACGGCGATCGCGCTTCCGCGGGCTCACTCCCGCTCCGCGCGAGTCATCAGACGCGATGTCGCTTCGTCACGCGGTCCGGAGACTCGGGAGAGCCGCGGTCGAGCGCGCGGCGGACGCGCGAGGCGGCGCGCTCGCGCGAGGCGACGCCGAAGCCCTCGCCGCGGGCGCGTCTCGTCGATGGCTCGCGACGAGCGACGGGAAAAGACCTTCGCCGCCGCCGCCGCCGACGTCCGCCGCCGCCGCCGCCGCGCGCGAGACGAGCGCGGCGGGCGAGGAGAAAACGAAACGCCCGACCCCGGCGCACCCTCTCGCGGGGATCATGTTCCCGTGGGAGTCCGCGGTCCTGAGCGGCGAGAGGAAGGAAGGCCCGATGCCGGCGTGGCAGAAGCTCTACTGGGTCGCCTTCGCGGGCGCGGTCGCGTTCCTCGTCGGCAGCCGCGCGAAGAGGTACTACGACACGAAACTCACGAAAGAGGAAGCCGCCGCGGAGCTCGCGGCGAACCGGGTCGGGATCCAACGCGCGTTAGAGGGGAGGAGCTTCAACGACGAGACGCTCGATCCGTTCGAAGGGATGAGCCCCGAGGAGATCGAAAAATTTATTAGCAAAGAAGCCCCGGACGGGGACCCGTACGCGGGGATGACCCCGGGGGAGATCAACGACTACATGAACAAGGCGCAAGAGGAGAGCATCAGGGGGGGGAAGAACATCTCGTTGCCGAAGATACCGCCGAGGGTTGGGGCGTAGGATAGAGACGGGGCGGGGGGTGGGAGGGTGATAGAGGCGCTTCGTCGTAGAGACAAACGAGTCGACGTCGATCGTCGTCGGCACCCGTCGCGCCGCGGCTCGTCCATCCGCCGCTCGCTCGCTCCTTCGCCACCCGCGCGCGCACTACGTCTCGCGCCTCTCTCGTCACTCACTCCTGCGACTCCGTCCCCCATGTCCCCCCTCGCGTCGGCGACCCGTGCGCGCGCTCCCGCTCGCCGCGACGCGACCGCGGCTTCCGCTCGCCTTTCGAATAGCTCGCGCGCAGATCCGCCACCACCGGGAAGTGGTCGCTCGCCCAGACGCCGAACTCGCCGCACGTGCACGCGTCCGCGACCGACCGCGACCACGGCGGGTCGCCTCTCGCGACCGCGGCGGCCGCGGCGCCGCAGACGCACCGCGTGTCGAGCGACGCGGACGACGCGGACGCGGACAAGGACGACGACGACTCCAACGACGACGACGACGACGACGAGACCGACAGGTGACGCAGACGTTCGCTGTTGACGGCCGTCACGACGCGCGCGTCGACGACGCGCACCTTGGGTTGCACGTCCGATCGCGCGTCGTCGCGGACGCCGTCCCCTCGCGCGACGTAGATGTGGTCGATATGTTTCTGGTGCCCCGCCGCGCCGCGAAGACGCTTCGACGTCCCGGCCGCGCCGCCGACCTTCCCGCCGCCGCCGCCGCCGACGCCCGCGGCGTCCGCGACCGACCGTCCCCACCCCGCGCGCGTCCGCGTCGTGAATCGCGCGTCGCGAGCGCGCCACGAGTCCAACACCCCCTCCGCGAGCTCCGCCTCGTCGGCGTGCGTCAGCTGCGCGTGGTGCTTCGCGCCCTGGTTGTCCGCGGCCATGAACCGCGAGATCATCTGCGCGTGCTGAGGGCCGTTCCAGTCGTGCCACGTCGTCCCGGGGTGGCCGCCTGAGCGGACGGTTCGCTCCGCGACGGACGTGGAGCCGTGCGGTTCGAACCGGGCGTCTGGTCGGTCGACGTCCAGCGCGTCGAACACGTCCACGAGGTCGCGGCGGCGGTCGTCCTCGTCTTTGGACGCGTCGAGAGGGGCGAAGTTGAACCGCGACGCGCCGCCGCCGCCGCCGCCGCCGCCGCCTTTACCCTTCTCCGCGTTCGAGGGAGGCGCCAGCGCGGTCATCCCGCGCCACAACGCGCGTCCCTCGCCCGTGAGCTGACGGTACTGCTGCTGCACCTTCTGCTGGTTCAGATCCCCCGCGAGTATCAGCGGCACGTCCGCGCCGAACTTCTGCTGTAACCTGCCGACCGCGGCGCGGATGCACTTCGAGCTTCGAATTTTCGCGGGCACGTCCGAGGACCAGTCGTGCCCGCTCTCGATGTGCGTGCTGCAGCACAAGAACCTGCGGCCCTCGTCACCGCTCGCGCCGGACTCGCCTCCTTCGCCGTCTTTCAGTCTCAGAAGCGCCCACGTCATCGGGATCATGTGCGCGTCGAGGCCGTACCCCATCTTCCCTTTTCGCGTCCACGTCGCGTCGCCGCCGCCGCCGCCGCCGCCGCCGCCGCCGCGTTCGAGACACGCTTCGTACGCCGCGAAGAACCTCCCGTCCACCCACTCGAACTGTCCCGCTTCGATCAAATCGAACGTGTCGCGCCGCCACCACACCCCGCACTGCTCCCACCGCCCTTTACTCCTGACGAGCTTCGCGATCTCGATCGAGACCGCGCCCGGCTCGCCGTCGTAGTCGTCGTTCGCTTCCAACAACACGCGGTCGTCCGCGCCGCGCTCGCCGCCCACCGGGGACGGAAAGCACGAATACTCCAGGCACGACGCCGCGCGCATCTCCCTGGACGCGAACACTTCCCGGGTCATCGACAGCATGTCCTCCTGGACGCACAACACGTGCGGCTTTTCGTTTTGAATCACGCGCGACACGAGCGGCGCGCGCGAGTGCCAGTGCCACCCTCCGTCCTTCGCGCCCGCGCCGGGCTGGTTCGCGAACCGTCTGCTCGGGTCCGGGTCGTTGTTCTTCAGGTTCCACGTCATCACCCTCAGCGCCCGCACGGCGCCGACGCCGCCGCGTCGCGACGGCCACGGCGGCGAGGCCGCCGCCGCCGCCGCCGTCGTCGTCGCGAGTCGATCCCCGAGCGCCGCGGCGGCGAGCCCGCGGCACGTCGCCGCGGCCGCCAACACGTCGAGCATCGCGAGGCCGTCCAGGCACCTCCGCAGCACCTCGGGCGGGAGCGTCGACAGGCGATCCTCGCCGCGGACGCGTCGGCGTTTCCCCGCTTTTGACGTGGCCGCGGCGGCGGCAAAGGCGGCGGCGGCGTCGTGATCGGACGCGTCGCGCGCGTCCCACGTCGCGCCCATCGCGTCCTCGACGACGTCGCGCGCCGCGCACGTCCTCCCCACGAACCCGGGATACCCCTGCGACGCGAACCGGTCGAAGTCCGCGCGGCTCGTCATGCGACGATTCGGTCGATACTCGCGCAGGGACGCGCACGCCTCTCGTAACGTCGCGGCGACGCACGCGGAACGCAGGTCGTGTGGATCTCGCGACGCGTCCAGGTCGCGAGCCGTCGCCGCCGACGTCAGCGCGTCGAGCACGCGGACCGCGTCGTCGTCGTCGATCGCCGATCGCCGCGGCGATTTCGTCGCGCCGCCGCCGCCGCGACGCGCGGGGAGCGCGTCCGCGTCCGGCTGCACCGTCGCGAGCGGCGCGCGGACGCCGCCGCCCTCGTTCGAAGCGTCGCGCGACAGCTCGTGCGATTCGAACGCCGCGGGCGGCTCCCCTCTCGCGTGCCGCTTGCAGCTCTCCACGAGCCACGTCTTCGCGAGGAGCATCGGAGGAGCGCGCCCGGGGACGACGCCGCGGCACGCGAACGGCAGGGCCTCGATCGTCGCGCGCGTCGCCGCCGGCGTCGAGTGCGACGCGGCGTCGACGAATACGACGTGCGTCACGCGCGCGTCCGCGTCCAGTCTCGCGCCGCGCGCGACGAGCCGTCCGCCGTTCTCTTCGACCATCTTCGTCCACGTCGCGAGCGACGTCTTCGAGCACGCGCTCGCGAGCGCGAACGTCGCGTTCGCGAGGGCCATGACAGCCGGCGAGCGCGCGCGCGCGCGACTCTGCGGGGGGGTGCACACAATCGCCGACCACGACCCGACAAAAAGTTAGGCACCCGGCGAGAAGCAATTCTGGTGTCGAAGCCGCGGCAGGTTGTGGGTCGATGCGTTTCGACCGTCTGTGACTCGTGAAAATCGCTCGACTCGGATGCCGTTCTGCTTGCGAAGCGTGCTTAAACGGTTCTGCCTTCCCCCTCTGGACACTGAGCAGCGCGCGCGACGAGCGACCGCGCGCGCTCGCACGGCGATACCGACGACGCGTTCGACGCGCGCTGTGCTCGTATCGCGTTCTTTTGAGATGATATCTGTCGCGCGTTCGCCCGATACCGGGCGTCGCATCGCGTGAGGACCGCATCGGAGCGGCGGATGACGCGCGCTTCCGAAGACGCAATGCTCCGCGAGACGGGTCGTCCCGAGACGCCCGCGGCGAGCGGCGGCGGGCGCGTCTCGGACGCTCCCGAGGCCGCGCGACGCCGCGATCGCTCGCGTTGGGGGGTATTTGGATCGTCGCGGTCGACCGCGAGCGTCGACGCGCGCGAGGACGCGCGGGAAGGCGCCATCGCGCGCTCCCGCGACGGCGCTCGCGATGCTTGCTCATCCACCGATGTCGTCGCGCGCGAGGCGGCGTGTCGATTCAGCGGACGACGCGAAAAACGGCGAGGCCGCGGGCGACCGGCGCGCGATACGCGCGACGACGCGACGCGACGCCCCGAGACGCCCGCGCGACGCGCGCGCGGCGCGAGAAACGCCGCCGCCGCCGCGCTCCGCGCGCTAAGCCTCGCGGCGCTGACCCTCCTGAGCCTCGCGCCCTTCGCCGACGGTGCGACGATCGACGGGACGCGCTCGACGCTGTCGTCGCTCCCGGCGTCCGTCTCCGTGCGCCGAACGACGCGCGTGCGCATATCCGGATACGACGCCGCGGGGGTCAAGCAGACGTCGGGAGGCGACGCCGCGAGCATCGTGCCCGTGATCTTCGCGCAGTCGTGCCCCGCGTGCGTCCCAATCGTGCACGACCACGGCGACGTCGTCGCGACGACGGTGGAGGATCGCGCCGACGGGGACTACGACGTCCTGTTCGTCCCGATGAGCACGGGAACGTTCGAGATGAGGGTCGCGTTTCACGGCGCGAACAAGACGGGGTACGCGCCGGTGTTTAAGGTGGTCGCGGACGGCGCGGCGCCGTCGCATTACGACGTGATTCGCCCCGCGACGTTCGTCGCCGGGGACTCGGCGGTGTTTCGAATCAAATCCTCCGCGGACTTAGACTTGGACCTGGACGTCGCCGCGGACGCGGCGAGCAACGTGTGGCTGCGGTACGACGGAGTGACCATACACGGCGGCGTCGCCGCGAAGCTGCGATACCTCGGCGTCAACGGCGTCGCGCCGACGGGCGCCGCGGCGGCGTACGAACAGCTCACTGTCTCGAGCGTCGAGCGGAGCACGCGCGAGCGGCACTTTTCATTCAACAAGACGAACGCGGGGTCGTACGAGGTCAGCGTCGTGTTAGACGACGTCCTGATCACCTCGGCGCCGCTCACGATCGCGATCGGCGGCGGCGCGCCGGTGAACCAGCTGAATGGCACGCGCGCGGGATTGACGACGAGGGCGTATAAGAGCGGGACGTCCCCGCCCGCGGGCGCGGCGCAGCTCCCGAACCCGCCGCCGACGTCGTACGACTTCATCGCGGGCGATACGATCAACTTTGGCGTGGACTTGAGAGATACACACGGGAACGTCGCGACGCTGTCGCCGGCGGCGGCGCTGGTCGTGACGTACGCGCGACGAGGCGGCGGCGGAGGGATCGCCGCGACGGCGGCGGTGACGAGGACGTTCGAAGGCGTCGGCGCCGGGTTCGGCCACACCGCCGCGGTCACGCTGACGACGACGGGGACGTACGACGTGCGCATCACGATAGGCGGCGTCCAGCTGTGCGTGTCGCAGACGGCGGTGAGCAACACGACCGGGCTGGTGTGCGTGCCTCCGGTGGTCGTGGCGCCGGCGACGCCGATCGCGGCGTCGACGTCCGCGGTGACCGGCTCGGGCGTGTCCGCGGTCATCGCCGCGGGGTCGAGCCTGAAAGTCAACGCGGTGCCGAAGGACACGCACGGGAACGCGCTCACGGAGGCGAGGAGCCGCGCGGAGGTGTCGTACACCGCGAGAGTGACGTGCGCGACGTCGCGTAGCCCGGGCGTCTCGAACGGCCAAGTGGTGGTGAACGACCGGGCGCTCGCGTACGTCGCGAACTCGGTGGACTTTTCGCACTCGGTCGGGTACACGTTGCAGCACGCGGGGACGTACACCGTCGTGGTGACGCAGACGGTGGGCGGCGTCGCGAGCGTCGTGGGGGGTGGGGGGGGCGCGACCGTGACGGTCGTCGCGGGCGCGATCGACCACTCGCGGACGACGATCAAAAATTCAGCCGGTGCGAACGCGCCGTGGACCGTCGCCGCGGGCGTCGACGGCGTCGTCGTCCTGAAGACGTACGACGCGATCGGGAACCCGGTGATGGTCGATCGCAGCGCTTCATCGCGGATCGTCGCGTCGTTCACCGGCGCGCGGGGAGGGGTGAACGCGACGTTCCGGGCGGCGGCGACGTACGACCCTCTCACTGGATCGCACTCGTTCGCGTTCAACATCGCCAGGGCGGACGCGTACGCGATCGAATACTTCGTCGACGGCGTCGTCGTTCCCGGCGGCGGGTCCGCGCTGACGATCGCGCGCGGGTCGACCGCGTCTATGTCGGCGAGCATCGCGGGGGGTGCCGGATTGAGAGCGGCTACCGCCGGCGAGCGAGCGACGTTTTTCGTGACGCCGCGCGACGCGCACGGCAACGCGTTGACGTCGGACGACGGCGTCGCCACCACCGTGACGCTGACGACGTCGAAGAACGCCGCGGGGGAGCCCGGGTGTCAGCCCGGGGTGGTGACCGCGATCGCGTCGAGCGCGTACGCGTTCGCGTGGGACGCGACGACGGGACGGTACGAAGGGTCCTACGCGGTTGAGCAGGCGGGGACGTTGAAACTGTCCATCGAACGCGCCGGGGTTCCGGTCCGCGGCGGCCCGTTCACGATCCCGGTGTCGCCGGGGGTCACGCACGCGGGCTCGAGCGAGCTAAGTGGCGTCGCGCTCGGCGGCGTCGTCGTGAACACCGCGGGATCGGTCGTCGTGCGAGCGAAGGACGCGCGCGGGAATCATAAAACCGCCGGCGGCGACGCGATCTGCGCGACGCTCCGCGCGCACTCCAGCACGTCCGCGGTCGCGGAGGCGTCGCTCTCGAGCGCGTCCACGACGTTGACGGACAACGGCGACGGGACGTACCTCGTGACGTACACGCCCACGGTGGTGGGCACGTACTCGCTGTACGTCACGTTGGGAGGCGCGCACGTCGGGACGTCCCCGGTGGCGGTCCAGGCGGCGGCGGCGGTCGGCGGCGTGGATTACACGAAGACGTACGCCGAGGGCGACGCGCTCGCGACCGCGATCGCGGGCGCGACGAACGCGTTCACGATCAACGCGGTGGACGCGAACGGCGTGAGCCTCGGCGCGGGCGGCATCGCCTTCGACGTGACGTTCACGCCCGCGACCGCCGGGTCGACGACGCTGACGATCGTTCGGAAAACGGTCGGCGCCGCGGGCGCGGACGCCACGGACGTCACGAGAGATAACGCCGACGGCTCGTACCGCGTGACGTACACCCCGGTGGAGACGGGGACGTACGCGCTCGACGTGAAAGCGCCCGGCGCGGTCGCGATCAAGGGGACGTGGCCGAAGACGGTGACCGTCTACGCCGGCGTCGCGTCGGCGGCGACGTCGCGGCCGTCGCGGACGACGCTCTTCCCCGCGTCCGCGGTCGCGGGGTCGACGATCACCACGAAGATAGAGGCGTTCGACGCGAAAGGCAACGCGCGGTGCTACGACGCGCGTTTGTTCGGCGGCGACGCGTTCAAGGTGAGCGTCGTCAACGCGCAGGACGCCGCCGCGGGCGCCGCGTTGGAGAAGACCGCCGCGCTGACGCCCAACGCCGCGGGCGGGTACTACGACGTGTCGATGACCCCCACGATCGCGGGGTCGTACACGGTGACGTTCAAACTGAACGGCGCGACGATACTCGAGGGCGTGAAGACGTTCACCGTGACGCACGGCCCTCTGAACATCGCGAACTCGATCGTGGAGGGCGTCGGCGTCTACGGCGGCGTCGCCGGCGTCGCGTCCGAGGCGTTTGTCTACGCGAGGGACGCGCACGGGAACGCGGTCACGTCCGGTCTGACGACCGCGGACTGCCGCGCCAAGCTCAACTCTGACGCGTCGTTCAGCGCCGCGGTATCGCTCAGCGCGAGCCTCGGGCGGTTCACCGTGCGATGGACCGCGACGGTCCCGACGACGAGCGCGGTGGCGACGGTGGAGCTGCGCGACTCGGGCGGGAACTGGGCGGGCGCGAAAAACTCCCCGTTCGGCGGCCTCGTCTACCGCGCCGGCGCGTCCTCGGTCGCGGCCGTCACCGCCGGCACGGGCGCGACCGCGGCCATCTCCGGCGTCGCGGCCACGTTCGTCGTCACCGTGAAGGACGCGAGCGGAAACGTCGTCGGCGTCGGCGGCGACGCCATCTCGTCGCGCGTGCTCGTCCCGCGGTGGGGCGCCGGGACGCGCGTCGTCTCCGGCGACGTCGTCGACAACGGCGACGGCACGTACGCGGTGTCGTACGTCGCGTGGGAGACGGGCACGTTCTCGCACGAGGTCAAGCTCGGGTCTTCGCACGTCGCCGGGTCGCCGTTCAGCGTCGTGGTGACCGCGGCGGCGACGTCCGCGGCGGAGACGTTCGCGGAGGGAACGGACTCGCCCGCCGTCGCGGGGGTCGCCTCGACGTTTGTGATTCGACCGATGACGACGCATAAAGTGACGCAGTCGCCCGCGGTGACGGATAATTTCGTCGTCACTGCGACGCCGTCGAGCTCCGCGTCCATAACGAGCGTGGTGAAGCGCGCCGAGGCTAGCGGCGGCGGGTACGTCGTCACGTGGGCGTCGAACGTGGCGTTGCGGGACGCGCACGGGTTCGTGTCGCCGTACTCGATCGCGGTGAAACTCGGCGGGTCGCACGTCAAGGGCAGCCCGTTCAGCGTGAAGGTCAACCCCGGGCGCGCGGTCGCGTCCAAGTCCGCGGCGTACGTCGTGACGCAGGTGGTGACGCGCAGGACGACGACGGACGGTCAGGTGTGCGGCGCGACGAGCGTGAGCGGCTACCAGTCGTGCGCGGTGGAGCGAAGTGTGAAGGCTCTCGGGCCGCACTCGATGCTGACGCAGGCGGGGCCGAACGTCGTGTTCGTCGCCGGCGTGAAACAGATGCTCGTCGTGCGTCTACGCGACGCGTACAACAACGACGCGACGCACGAGAGTTTCTCCGACGCCGTGGAGGTCACGACGACGATCAACGGCGCCGCGGTCGTGACCGCGACGACGACGGACCTCGGCGAGGGCGTGCGTCAGATTGTCTTCACGCCGACGAAGGCGGGGTCCTACGCGTTGTGGATCGCGGTCGACGGCGTGAACATCGGGCCGAACGCCGCGGCGTCGCTGCCCATCGTGGTCGCGCCCGCGGCGGCCTCGCTGTCGCACTACCAAGTGTGGGGCCCCGGCGTCACGACCTCCGCGGTGGTCGGCGCGTTTCACGAGATTCGCGTCCAGCCGCGCGACGCGTTGGGGAACGCCGTCGTCGGCGACGCGTCGCTCGTAACGTCTGGTCCTAAGACGTTACACGCGGCGATCGTCGTGCGCGTGGGCGAGATTTACGAGTCCACGGTGCGATCCGTCGCGGTCACCGGGCTCACGATAACGCACGACGCCGTCGCCGCCGCCAACTACACCGCGGGGACGTACGTGATCAGGTTCAAACCCACGACGGTCGGCGCGCTCGTCTCGACGCTCTCCGTCGTCGACAGCGCCCCGGGGGGCGCCTCCGCCGCCGTCGGCGCCTCGCCGTACGTCGCGCCCATCGTGAAGACGAACGCGTACGTCACCGCGAAGCTGTCCGGGTCCGGCGCGTCCGGCGCCGCGATGGCGGTCGTCGATCTGCCCGTCGTCGTCGTCCCCGTGGACGCCGACGGCAACGACGCGGACTTCGTCTCCGCCGCGGACGCATCGCGCTTCGCCTTCTCGGTCTCGCCGTCCTCGCGCGCGGTCGTCGTCAAGCCGCTGACGTTTTCATCAAACGGCGTCCTCTCCGCGAGCTGGAAAGGCACCGCCGCGGGGGACGTCACCGTGTCGGTCACGCTCGACGGCGCGCACGTCACCGGGTCGCCGCACGTGACCACCGTCGCCGCGCACTCGAGCTTTTGGACGGTGAACCCGGCGTTGTCGCGGATGACCGGACCGGCGCTCCGAGGCGGGTACGCGGGGCAGAGTTCCTCGTTCGCGATCGAGCTCGTCACGGACGCGGGCGCGGATTACCCCGTCAGCGCGGAGTACGATTGGGACGCCGCGGTGGTGTGCCCGCCCGGGCAGCCGAGCAAAGGCCTCGTGAAGATCACGCGCGACGGCGCGCCCATGACGGCGAACGTCATCGACGACTGCGACGGCACGTACACCGTGAGCATCTCGCACGCGCGCACGGGGATCGTGTCGTACGTCGGGATGCTCGGGCCGATGCCCGGGAACCCGACGTCGGACCGCCCGATCGGCGGCGTCGGACCGCTGAGCAGCGTGCACGCCGTTCGCGTGTATTCGGGCGCGACGTCCGACGTCCGCGTCGCGTGGGCGGCGGACGTCGCCGACGGCGTCGGCCGCGTCAACGAGGCGATCGTCTTCACCGTGACACCGCTCGATTCGCACGGGAACGAGGTGGATTATAAAGTGTTTCCGAAGGACGACTTCGCCGTCGTCGTCACCGTCGACGGCGGGCGTTACGTCGAGTCCGTGCCGATCACGCGGCGCACTCGAGCGCACGCGAGCGGCGTCGCCGGGTTGGAGACGACCTACTACGTCGCTCGTTTCGACCCGAGAGACGCGGGGAAGCACGCGTTCAAGTGCACGTTCACCGGCGGCTCTTCGTCGGAGACGGTCGTCGACGTCCGGCCCGGGACACCGTACGTCAACACGACGACGGTGTGGGGCGACGCCGTGCGCGTGATCAAAGCCGGCGAGGCGAGCGCGATTCGCGTGCTTCTGAAGGACGCCAAGGGAAACCCCGCGGGCGACGGCGCGTACGTCTCCGCCTTCGACTCGGCGCTGCACCCGCATCATTACCTCGGCGGCGCGGTGCCGATCGTGGAGAGCGTCCTCATCCCGCAGGGCGCGAACGCGTCGGCGGGGTACGTCGCGAACACGACGATCGACGTCATGGACCAGACGTACGTCAGCACGTTCAACGTCACGCGACCCGGGAATCACACGCTTCGCGTGCTGCTCTACGGCTTCGAAGTCGCGCTCGGGGTGGACTACGAGGGCACCGTCGTCGTCGCCGGGAGCGCGGACGCGGTCAACAGCACCGCGTCGGGCCCGGGCGTCGGCGAGAGAGGCCTCCCGATCGCCGCGGGGACCGCGACGACGTTCACGATCACCGCGAGGGACGCGCTCGGGAACCCGCTCACGCCCGTCTCCGGCGCCGCGTTTAGCGTCGTCGGACGCGTCGCGACCTCCGCGAACCCCTCGTCAACGAACGCGTCGGACTGGACCGCGAACGCGACGCACGGGCTGGTGTCGTCCGTCCCCGTGGACAACGGCGACGGGACGTACACCGCGTCATTCGCGCCGACGCGCGCGGGGAAGTACTTGCTGTCCGTGACGCACGGGACGACGCACTTCGCCGGGTCGCCGTTTTTAGTGACGGTCAACGCGGGGGCGTCGTCCGCGGCGCATTCCACGATCGAATGCGGCGCGTTGACGCCGGCGGCGTGCGCCGTGGACGGCGGCGGCGTCGCCGCGGGCGCGACGGAGAAGTTCTACGTCGTCGTGAGAGACGCGCTCGGGAACGTGCAGACGCACGCGGACGACAAGGTGTACTACGCGTTCACGAGCACGGGCGGGTACGTCGCCGAGGGCGTCGCGACCGCGGTGGCGAATACCCCCGGCTGGTACGAAGTCGCCGTCGCGCCGCGCGTCGTCGGCGCCGGCGCGCTTCGCGTCGCGCTCGACGCCGGCGTCGTGACGAACGCTGCCGTCGCCGTGGTCGCGGGCGCGGCGGACGTCTCGAAGTTCACGCTGACGTGCGCCGGGGTGCCGACGACGTCCGCGGGCGCGACGTACGCGGTCGTCGCCGCCGCGTTTGACGCCAACAATAACCGCGTCTTGACGGGCGGCGCCGCCGTGAAATTGTTTTTGGATCCGACCGCGCCCGGCGGGGCTTTCACCGAGGTTCTCCTCGCGGACGCCGCGGACGGGACGTACGTCGGGAGCTACGCGCTCACGACGCCGGGGACTCACGTCGCGAGCCTGCAGCTCGCGGGCGCGAAGAAGAACGTCACGTTCACCGTCGTCGCGGGCGACGTCGCGTTCGGCCGCGCGCCCGCCGCGTCTGCGGCGCGCGACGGCGTCACCGGCGGCACCGTCGGTCCGTTCGTCGCCGGAAAGCTCTCTTCGATCGCGCTGCAGTTCACGGACAAATACGGGAACGTGCGGTACGACGCGAACGACGTGTCTTCCGGGACGCTGACGCTGAAGATCACGAACGACGACGACGGCGCGACGACCTCGGTCCCCGTCTCCGGCGTGACGTTCAACTCGCAATCGCACGCGGTGGTCGGGACGCGCGGGACGCACAACGTCACGTTCACGCCGACGATATCCGGCGCGCTCTCGATCCACTTCGCGAAGAACGGCGCGTCGCTGATCGACCCGTCGACGAACCAGACGTACGTCGCGGTGGTGAAGCCCGCGGCGCCGAGCGCGGCGAACACGCTCGTCTACGGCGCCGGAGCGACCGCCGCGGCGATGACCAAAGCGAGCGTCGTCAACGTCGTCGCCGCGGATGCCCACGGGAACAAAATTCTGCACGATCTCCCGCGCGTCGGCGACCGGCCGATCGCGTACAGCTTTCGCTTCGCGGCGACGTCCGGCGGGAGCGCGCCGAACGCGGCCGCGCTCGCGGCGATCCCGCAGAGCGCGGCGTACTACGGCTTCGGGGTCACGACGCTGTACTACACGCCGCCGACGCACGCGAGTCAGTATTATCTCAACGTCAAAGTGCTCGCGGACGGCGTCGCGCTCCCCGGCGCCGGGCGGGACGTTCTCGTGACGCCCTCCAGGCCCGTGGACGCGATGAAGACCATCGCGCTCGATCGCACCCTACGACCGATCAACGCCGCCGCCGCCGTTCGAGGCGCGGTCGCGAACGAGGCGTTCAAGATGCTGATCGAGGCGAGGGACGACAACGGCGCGCCTCTCGGCGCGTCCGCCGCGAGCTTCGTCCGCGTCAGCGTCACCCCGCTCGTCGTCGCGGGGAGCGCCGCGTACGCGACGCACAGGACGGAGCTCACGTCCGAAGGGCGCGTCGCGGTGTACGTCACCGCGACCGTCGCCGGGGAGTACTCCGTGTACGTCGAGGTGAACGTCGCGGGAAGCTGGCAGGCGCTCGGGGGAAACTGGGCGGCGTTCACCGACGCCGGCCGCGGGAGCGTTCGTCTCGCCGTCGCCGCGGATAAGACGGACGCGACGAAAGTCGTCGCGACGCACCTGCCCGCGAACGCGGTCGCGGGCGCGACGAGCACGCTGCGCCTGCGGAGCCGCGACGTGGGCTCGAACCCCGCGTACGCCGCGGGAAGAGGCGCGGACTACTACCGAGTGACGCTGAAGCGTTCCAACGGCGCGGATGAAATCGTCGCGGCGTTCGCGACCGATCACGGCGACGGCGACTACGATTTCTCGTTCACCGCGCACCGCGCCGGGACGTACGCGACGCGCGTCTCCCTGCACGGCGGCGTCGACGTGAACGTCGGGAACGTCGTCGTCGTCCACGCGCCGAGCGCGCACGCGGCGAGCACGAGCGTGTCGCCGCCGCTCGCGACGGCGGCGACGATGGGACGCGCGGGCGAGCTCTACCGACTCACGCTCACCGCGATGGACGCGCTCGGGAACGTGCACAGCGCGGGCGATCAAACGTGGACGATGACCGTGACGCCGCCGACGGGCGCGTCCGCGATCGACGCGAACGTCGCCGCGAACGCGGACGGGACGTACGCCGCGACGTTCACCCCGCGTAAGGTTGGGACGCACGTCGTGTCGATCGCGCACTCGAGCGGCGTCGTCGTGCTCTCGAGCTTCAAAGCGACCATCTCGCCCGGGGTGATCGCGAAAGAGCGCGTGGGCGCGACCGGGACGATCCTCCACGCCGCCGCGACCGCGAACTCGGTCGCTCTCGTGCTGCGAGACTACCACAACAACGTCGTGACGAACGCGACGGAGGCGACGGGCGGCGACGTCGCGTTGTCGATTCCCGGCGTGAACGGCGCCACGGTGACGCCGACGATCGCCGCCGTCTCCGGCGGCGGTTTCGACGCGAGCTTCATCGTGCCCGTCGTCGGGTCGTTCAACCTGAACGCGCTCGTTCGAACGGTCGCGGCGACCCGCGCGCCGTTCGTCCTGGACGTCGCGCGAGCGCCCGCGCCGCGGCTGCTGGCGGCGCGCGTCGACGTCGGGAAGATGAAATTCGATCTGACGTTTGCGACGCCCGCGGACGCCGCCCCGCGCGCGTGCGCCGCGGTCCTCACGACCGCGACGACGACCGCGGTCGGCACCGGCGCGACGTGCGCGTGGGCGGACGACAAGACGCTCTCCGTCTACTTCGGCCCGGACGCGACGCTCGCGCCCGGCGATCACGTCGTGCTGATGCCCGGGGTGATCGCCGACGCGAGCGGAAGCTCGCACGGCGCCACCGGCGTGACGCGTTTGCTCGCTCCGAGCTCGATCACGCCCCCCGTCGCGTCGATATCCGCCCCGAGCGCGGTCGGGCCGTGCGACAACATCGCGTTCGACGTCTCCGGGTCCTCCGGCGGCGGCGGACGAAAGTTGCGATACGAGTTTGGGATCGTCGCGAACGACGCGACCGCGGACGTCGGCGTCGTCGTCGCCGCGCTGAAAGCCGCGGCGGCGGCGGCGGCGGCGGCGAGCTCGGACGTCGTGACGCTGAGCTCTAACGTCATGACCGCGGGCGTTTCCTACAACCTCACGCTCCAGGTCACGGACTATCTCGGCAGCGCGCACAAGGTGCATCACGGGTTCGTGAAGCGCGCGTACCCGACGCCGATCGCGCGCGTGCTGGGCGGCGAGGATCGGACGATTCGACGCGGGCACGCGCTCTCGCTCGAGGCGGACGTCTCTCTCCCCGACGTCTCGTGCGCGTCGTTCCCTGCGGTCGCGAACGTGACGTACGAGTGGACGTTGATCGGCGGTCCGGTGTTGACGACCAAGGACTTTCCGTCGAACGATGTGCACGTGGCGTATAACAAAACGCTCCGAACGCGGGCGTTATACGTCCCCCCCAAGGTTCTCGCCGGCGGGTTCAAGTACACCTGGCGTCTGCGGACGTCGTCCGGGACGAACCCGGGGTTTTACTCGGACGTCACCGCGTCCGCGACGGTCACGGTCGGCGCGATCGACGCGAACCCGATCACCGGGGTCGATCGAACCGCATTCATCGGGGCGCCGCTCCTGCTCGGCGTCGATCCGGTCGACCCGGACGACGCGAGGGACACGAAGGGCGCTCCGTATTCGTTCACGTACGCGTGGTCGTGCGCGTTGAGTTCGGGCGGCGCGTGCGGTTTACCCGCGGATAAAGTCCCCGGCACGTTTTACTCCCCGACGGCGTCGACGGTAACGCTCCCCGCCGCGACGTTAACGTCAGGCAAAGAATACGTCTTCAGCGTCGTCGTCGCGAAAGAGCCGAGCGTCGCGGGACGGTCCGTGACGGTCGCGATGCGCGTCAAGGCGGCGACGGGCCCGAGCGTTTTGGTCGGCGCCGCGTCGCGCGCTTCGAACGCGTCGATCGTCGTCTCCGGGCCGTCCGCCGGCTTAGTCTCCCCGAGCGAGCGCGTGACGCTCCGCGCGGACGTGCGCGACTGCCCCACGGGCGCGAGCGCGTGTTCCGTGACGTGGTCGTGCGTCGCCGGCGGGCTCAACCTCGGCGCCGCCGCGGAGCTCGGCTTCGCGGACGCGCTCCTGACGATTAAGAAGGACGCGCTGACGCCGGGGCGGACGTACACGTTCCGCGCGAGCGGCGGCGGGCACGCCGCGGGTCTGCACGGGGACGTCGTCGTCACCGCGAACGCGCCGCCGCGTGGCGGTACCATAACGGCCACGGCCTCGCCATTTTCGACCGCGGTGACGTCGCGGCTGTGGGACGCGAGCGGCGGCTTCGGCGGTCTCGGCCGCTTCGTCGCGCGCGCGGACGGGTGGTCGGACCAATCCGATCACCTCCCGCTGTCGTACACGTTCTACAAGAAAACCGGCGCCGGCGCGACGCTCACGCGCCGCCCGCTGAGCGCGCCGCAGGCGTCCAACGTCATCGACGCGCTCCTCCCCGCGGGAACGCACGACATCGAAGTCGTCGTCGCCGACGCGTACGGCGCGGCGACGACGGCGAGAGTCGCCGTGACGGTGTCGAACCCGAACCCGCCCGCGGGCCGTCGACGGCTCTTATCGTCGCCGAGCGGCGGCGCCGCCGCGGTCGAGATCTCCACGGCGGGGTACAACGTCACGACCGCGCGCGCGTTCATCGCGGACGTGTTGCGGCCGTACGTCGACCGAGGCGCCGCCGCGCAAGTGTTACAGGCGGCGACCGAATACGCCGCCGCGTTCAAGGCGAGTCCCGGCGTCGCGGGCGTCGTGAACACGACGTGCGTCGCCGCGGACGAGATCGCGCCGCAGCACGCCGTCGTCGCGGCCGCGATCCTGGACGCGATTGCGACCACGGAACGCACCGCGGAGGGCGCGACGCAGACGCTGTGCGCGCTGTCGGATCTCTCGTCGGATCCGCGGACGGTGACGTTTAATTCGTCGTCGTCGACGGCGAACGCGATCGACGCGGTGACGGCGTTGACGGCGGAAGCCTCGCGCGCGACGGACCCCGTCGCGGCCGCGTGCGCGATCGCGCTCGCGTCGAACCTTCTCGCGGTCACTCGGTCCACGTGTTTGGCCGCGTCCGCGTCCGCCGGCTTCGTCGCGAGCGCGGCGGCGACGATCACCGCGGCGGTGGACGAGGTCGTCGCGGCGGCGGCGACGACGCTGCTCCCCGGCGCGCCAGCGTTCGTCGCGGACGCGACGCACGTCTCGATCGCGGTTCGAACCGCGGAGCCGTCCGCGAACGTCGGGCTCCCGCTCGCGGTCGCGCTTACGTCCGGGAAGGCGTCCGTGACGTTCGATTTCAACTCGACCAAGACGGGCGCGTCGTTCCCTAACGCGACGACGGGCGCGATGGTCGGCTCGTTGAAGCGTCTGAGGAATAAGTATGGCGCGACGCCGGCGTACGCGTCGTCTGGGGTCGGCGAGCGGCTCGTGAGCGATTACGTCGTCCTCGGCGTGTCCCACCCGGACTTCGCCGCGGTCGCGGACGCGATGAAGACGACGACGGTGACGATGTCGTACGACGCGGCGGCGCGGAACCACGCGAACAACTCGGGGCGGTATCCGGACGTTCGGTTCTACGACGCCGGGCTCGGCGCCGCGCTTCAAAATTTCGTTCCGAACGCGAGCTCGACGTGGGTCGAAGACCCGGTGTCGTACGACGGGTGGGGGTCGTACTCGGGGTGGAAAGACGTCGGCGCGACGACCGCGCGGTCGACGGAGACGACGGCGAGCGCCTCGGCGACGAACGCGTTCGCCGGCGTCGGCCCCGGCGCCGGGAGCACGTTCGGCGTCGTCATGATCAACGCCAACGCGCCGCCGCGTCCGTCGCCGCCGCCGAGCCCGCCGCCGCCGCCGCCCCTCGCGCCTCCGGTGCCGTCGCCGCCGCCGCCGCCGCCCGCGGCGCCGCCGAAGGACATGACGCAGACGTACATCGCCCTCGGCGCGGGTTTGGGCAGCGGATTCATCTTCTTGTACTTTTTGTACTCGAGATATACGGCGAACCAACGCGCGAAGAAGGCGGAGGATCGACGCCGGCACGGGCCGCGTCAGAGGGAGCGGGAGAAGCGACGCAAGGAGCGCAAGAAGCTGCACATGGAACGCAGAAGAGAGTGGGAGGAGGCGCGCCGGGAGAAAATGGAGGCGAAGCGCATTTTCGACCAGCAGCGGAAGCGCGCGCAGGTCATGAATTGGATCCGCGGGCAGCGCCCCGACCGCGTGTCGTTCGAACCGCACGCGCGCGGGCGCGACGTCGACCTCGAGAGAGGCGAAGGCGGCGCGCGCAACATCATGTACCCCGAGCGCCCGCACAGGGACGATCGGAAGAGGGATAAGAAGAAAGAGAAGAAGAAGAATAAGGTGTACCCTGCGACGCGCGGCGGGCCGCGCCCGGCGCCGCCGCCGCCGCGGCAGCTCACCGCGGATTCGCTGGACAGCGCGTACGGCGGTCAGAGGCGGCTGCGGGATCAGTACCGGGATCCGCGTGCGAGGCTGGACACGCCGCCGGATTACGAGCGGCGGTATTGAGATATTAGATACATAGCGACATAGGTACATAGGGGCGTCGAGTGAATGCTAGCTACCTCGCGTTGAAACGAGACTAATAATTTAAAGAGTCCATGATAAGATCACCCGAGGCGAAGGCGAGACTCGAGTCGGCGGCGCGGCGTGTCTCTCACATCTCATGATCTTTGCGTGATGGATCGCCCAGCGAAATGTGCATCTTCTCCGCACGTTTCGTAGGTCAGCGCCGTCCACAGTTCGCCGCGCTCCACCGCGGGCGCGGCGACGTTTCCCCGCGGTCGTCGATGACGTCTGCCAACCGTCAGCATTCTACGAGGTGAGCATCGAACCCCGCTCGCCCGCTCGAATTTCCGCGACCGTCGACGACGTCGTCGCTGATGAGGCCGCGACGCGACGCCACCAATTGGCACGGCGATCGCGTCCTCCCCGACCGCCCTCTGCTCGACGACGTGCACCTGCATATATCAGCCGGCACGGGACCATCCAATCCCTATTGCCCTCATGACCTACAAAGGTGCACAGAGTTTGCCGTCACTAATGAGCCTCGGGCGACGGCGTCCACCGCGTCCGAGTTCGCATCCGGCGGCCACATCCTTCGCTCGCGCGCCTCGCCGTCTCGCAATCTGATCGTCGTCGCGTGCCCGACAAATCCCTGGAGCGGAAGCCAGTTCCCTTCAGGGCTCTAACGTACGCAAGAGCATCGTTCGCGACCCGCCCCCGCGTCGTCGTCCGTCCTTCGACAGCTCGCGACGCGCGACATCGCGCGCCGCGAGTCCGTGGACGGCCGACGACGCAGCCTCCTAATTCGTTAGGATGTCAGCCGCGGCTGGCGGGACAACTCGACCACTCACTCAGTTTCGTCTCTCAACAGCTTCTGTTCATCACGCTCTTCCTTTCCTCTTCCTCTCGCTCCCTCTCGCGCAGATAGATGGGCGCGACGTTCACCTTCAACGGCGCCCCGCTGACGTTGATCGGCGGCGTGGACGCGAGCTACCCCGCGACGGAAACAGACGACGCGGTCGCGGTCGCGTGCCTGGCCGTCCTGTCCTTCCCGTCGCTCGAGACGGTCCGCCTCGACTTCGAGCCGTTCGCGCCCGCCGCCGAGTACGTCCCCGGCCGACTCGCGGACCGCGAGCTTCCGCCGTACCTCGCGCTGCTCCGACGGTGCCCGCGCCCGCTCGCGCCGCAGTGCGTCTTCGTGGACGGCAACGGGGTGTTACACCCGGAACGGTTCGGCATCGCGTGTCGACTGGGCGTCGACGCGGCGACGCCGACGATCGGCGTGGCCAAAAATTTACTCCGAGTGGACGGCGTGGACGCGCGCGCGCGATCGAAGCGCGACCGCGACGCGAGTGACGTCGGCGAGGTCGAGCTCGTGGACGACTCGGGGACCGTTGTCGGCGTGGCGTTATCCGGGCACGACGTTGCCGGCGTCGTGACGAAGCCCGTGTACGTCAGCGCGGGCGCGGGGATGGATTTGGCGACGGCGACGGCGTTGACGCGCGCGTGCTCGCGGCATCGCGTCCCGGAACCAATTCGCGCCGCGGACGTCGCGTCGAGGGCGTGGCTGCGCGAGCATCAGGGCGCGAGTTAGGGCGGCGAGGAGGGCGGGCGCGAAAGAGCGTGGGCGGTGGGTTCATAGCGTTAATGTAGATGTTAGACGTAAGTACTTACGCTAAGCGACGCGCGAAGCGAAGCAAAGTGCCCCTTCTGTCAGAATCTGTTCGAAGTCGGCACGAAAACCCACGGCCCGATACGAGTACCGACCCTCGATCGCACACCTCGCCGCGCGGGCGCGCTGATGCCGACGCGCCCCGTCGTCGCGTCGCCGTCCCCCCCCCCCGCGCGTCTTCACGCGCTCCGAACGCTCACAACCGCCGCAGCGCGCATCCGCTCCGTCGCCCGCGATCGCGCGATGTCGTGGCGGACGTCCGCCGCCCCCGCGTCCACCGCAGGCGCCGTCGACGCGACGGCGCTCAACGCGTTCCTTCGCGCGGGGCAAGCCGCGGCGACGACGCCCGGGACGAAGCTCTACGTCGTCATGGGGAACGAAGCCGCGGACCTGGACTCGATCGCGTGCGCGATCGCGCTGGCGACCAGCCTGGACCGCGACGGCGTCGCCGCGGAAGCGAACGAGCGCGTGATCCCGCTGATCGCCATCCCGCGCGACGACTTTTCTCTTCGCGCGGACGCGGCGTGGCTCCTTCGCGACCTCGGCGTGGACGTCTCCTCGCTCGTGTTCCTTGACGACCTCGACGTCGCGGCGCCTCCGAGCGGCGTGGAGATCGCCGGGTTGACGCTCGTGGATCACAACGCGCTCTCGCCGCGGTTGGCGGCGTCCGCCGCCGCCGCGCTCGCGTCGAAGACGGTGCTCGTGATCGATCACCACGATGACGAGAAGAAATACCCGGACACCGCGTTCGTCACGATCGAGCCCACGGGCTCGTGCGCGACGCTCGTGTTCGAGCGCATCGCGAAGACGCGCTCGTGCGCGAGAGACGTCCTGTGCGCGGGCGGTCCGATCGCGACGATGCTGTTCGCGGCGGTGCTGATCGATACGCAAAATTTGGACCCGGCGGCGACGCGGTCGACGCCGCGCGACGTCGCCGCGGTGGACGCGCTCGCGCCGCGCGTCGCCGCGAAAGTCGGCGACGTCGCCCTCGTCGACGCGAGCGACGCGAGCGCGCGAATTGGGTTCTACGAGGAGCTGAAGCGACGGCGGTTCGACCAGCGCGGGCTCTCGCCGCGGGATCTGTTGCGGCGGGACTATAAGCAGTGGACGATGGGCGACGGGCGGTGGGGGTGGGAGGTGGGCGTGGCGTCGTTCGGCGTCCCGTTGACGGAGATGGGCGGGCGCGGCGGTGGCGACGACGCGTCGTCCGTGGTAACGGCCGCGTGCGATGCGTTCGCGCGGGAGCGGGGGCTGGACGTGCTCGTGTTGATGGCGGCGTTTGACGACGCGAACGACGGCGGCGCGTTCGCGAGGCAGCTCGCGTTTTGGCTCCCGTCCGCGGCGTCCTCCGGCGGCGCTGGCGTCGACGCGGAGACGCGCTCGAAACGCGACGCCGTGCTTCGCGAGATGATCGCGGAGACGCTCGCGCCCGCGCTCGGCGGCCTGGAGCGACTGGACGCGGAGGAGGGCGCCGTCGGGGCGTTCGAAGGGCGCGCCTACGCGCAAAGGGACGCGCGCGCGTCGAGGAAAAAACTGCAGCCCGCGATGGCCGCGCGGCTGAGCGAGACACCCAAGCCGCGGTAGCGGGTAGCGGTAGCGGTGGCGGGGTCATCGCGGGGTCATCGCGGAGGTGGGGGTCTTCGCGCGCTGCGCTCCGTGGGGGGGGTCGTCGACGTGTAGATAGACGATCGACGACGTCTCGGTAGTCCCGGTAGTCCGCGAGTCGCTCGACTCCGGTGTGTTTTTCGCGTCGTAAAAGCCGACAAGTGTCCGTTTGAGCCGGTTTCATTCGCCGCGGACGCTGACTCGGCGTTTTTTTGTGCTCGCTTTTCGTCGCTGGGCGAAGCGAACAACAACGAACGACGCGGGCCGCATCTGTCGACGCACCGCGCTGGCACCCGCGACGCGCGCGTCCGAGCGCTGTCGTCGCGTGTAATACCTCCCGCGAGATGACGCTCGCGATGACGCGCGCGCCCGGGGGCGTGATCGCCACCGCGCGCGCATCCGACGTCGCGGCGTTTCGGAAAAGAAAAGCCGCGAGGTTCCCCCGAGAAAGATGCGCGCTCCGAGCGCGCGGCGAACGCGTCGCGGCCTCGGCGACGCCGCGCGCGTCGCGCGCGCCGATCCTCGGCCTGTGCGATTCGAACCGCTCGCTCACCTCGCGCGTGATCTCCTCGCCCACCCCGGCGCTGCGCGCGCGCGTCGCGCGCGAGATCTCGCCCGCCGCCTGGGGGACGCGCCCGCCGCGAGGAGGCGTCACAAAAAGAGGCCGCGTCGCGCCGCGCGCCGCGCTCACGTCCGTCGGCACCGTCGCCGGCAACGTCCTCGCCGCGGTCGCGGTCGCGACCATGGGGCCCTCCCCCGCGGCCGTCGCGACCGTCGCGGCGGCGACGACCGCGACCGCGGGCGCGGCCGCCACCGGCGGCGGGTTCTTCGGGTACTTCTTCGCGTTTCTCCTGGGCGGCGCCTTCTTCTCGACGTTTCTCGGCGTCGCCGCCATCTTCATGAGCGTCGGCGGGGAGAACGTCCGAAGGGCGTGGCGCGTGTTCCAATTCCTGTCGTCCAGAGTCTGGAAGCTCGTCGCCGCGACCGCGGTGGCGGTCAAGGCGTCGATCGAGAAGAAGGCTGGCTGGGACGACACGAAGAAGGTGCTCGACGAGGGGTTGGCGGCGACGAAACGCGAGGTGGACGAGTCGCTCAAGGCGTTCAACCAAGAGAGGGACTTTTACGCCGCCGCGGTCGGTATTCCGGGTCTGAGGACCGCGCAGTACGTCTTGGACCACATGATGCCCGGTCTCTTCGCGCAGAAGCTCGAGGCGTCGCTCGCGAACAGCATCGGAAACATGAAGCACAAGAACATGAAGCGGATGATCTTGAAGAGGGTCAACGCGGGAAAATCCGCGCCGTTGCTCACGGGCGCGCGCTTCTACGACGTCGGCGAGGAGACGATGGCGTTCGACCTCGACATGAAGTGGTCCTCGGACGTCACCGCGGACATGGAGGTCGTGCCCGCGATGGGCCTCCCCGGGGACCTCGCGAAGGTGCCGGTGCAGATGCACAACGTCGGGTTCGACGGCACCGTGCGCGTGATGCTCGCGAAGCTGCAGAGGAACGAGCCGGGGTACGGCGCAATCGTGGTGTCGTTCCCGGACCCGCCGTCCATCTCGTTGGACATCAAGCTCGTGGGCGGGTTAGAGGTAAACCGCGTGCCGTGGCTGAGGAACGTCGTCAGCGACGCGACGAAGACGTGGATCAAAGAGGAGATGTTGTGGCCGCAGCGGATGATCATCCCCGCGGAGAAGCCGTCGCAGCTTTGGAAAAACTCGAGCGCTCCGGAGTACGTCTTGAGCAAGCCGGAGCTGCAGACGGTGCTCGACGAGGACCCGCTCATGGCCGCGGAGGCGAACTTGACGTCGCTCCAAGAGATCGCGACGTTCGCGTCCGGGAAGGTGGCGCAGCTGGAGAGCACGACGGACGAGGGCGACGGCGTTGGGGGCGAGGACGTCGAGGGCGTCGGCGACAGCGGCGCGCCGGCGCCGACCGCCAAGCCGGAGCGGAAGCTCATCGACGTCGAGGTCACGGACGCGGACACCGTGCGTCCGACGACGCCGCAGCCGACCGCGCGGGAGGAGGTGTGGAACTGGATCAAGGGCGCGAGCAAGGTGACCGCGGACAAGACGGTCGAGGTGGGGAAGTTCACCGTCACGAAGACGGTGGAGGTGAGTAAAGTCGCGGTGGACAAGTCCAAGGAGGTGGCGGCGAGCGACGAGACGAAGAAGCTGCTGAACGACGTCGGCGGGTGGTGGAACACCGGCGTCGGGGGGTGGTTCAACAACGTCGCGTCGAGGGCGGCGAAGGGGAAAGCCGCGAACTCGTTCCCGCCCGCGGAGGCGTGGACGATGGCGGCGCCGACGGACGGAGAAGGCGAGGTCACGGACGTCGAGGCGACCGTCGTCGAGGACGCGGAGAAGAGCGGCGCGGGGGGGTTGAACGGCGCCGCCGACCCGGACGCGTCGGCGACGAAGAAAACCGCCGCGCCCAAGCCGAGATGATAGTGCCTGACTGAGAAGAGATGTACTGTAAAATACTAACGTTACGTTCGAATCATCGCACGACGGCTTCGAGCGCGGCTATTCGCTCCTCGTACGTCGGCTCCGTGACGCGCTGGTGTAGACGCACGTACGAGTAGTGCCCCCCGTCCGGGTTCCCGAGCGAAGGACCGAAGGCGCAGTACGAACACAACGCCGCCGGGGACGCGCCGCGTCGAGGCGGTTTGCGGTTTCCATTCGCGCCCGCGTCCACGTCAGCATCCACGTCAGCATCGCCGCCGCCGCCGCCGCTCCCGCCATCCTCGCCGAGCTTCAACGACGCCCACACCTCCGCCCACTTCCCCGCGCGCGCGCGGTGCTTGAACATCAGCTGCGCGACGTGCAGCTCGAGCTGCGCTTTCGCGCCGCCGCTCAGTCGACGTCGGACGTGCGCCTCGTCGAACCCGGACGCCCACAACAACAGAGGCTCCTCCGGGGCCATCTCGTACTGCGGCTTCCGCGTCGTCTTCTCGAGGTCTAACAAGTCGTCGATCACGGACGGCGGCTCTTTCCCGAGACCGACGAGGAACAGCACCGCGGCGACGCACCGAACTTGATGCCACAAAAACGCGGTGCCCTTGACGCTGATGTAACACAAACGCGGCGGCGCGCCGCTCGCGGACGACGACGCCGACCTCCCTGGGCCTAATCCGCACGCGCCCGCGCCGTCGCCGTGTCCGCCGTCGAGCCACGCGCGGTCGTCGTGCTCCGTTCGCGAGTCCCCTGGCGCGACGACCGCGCACTCGAGGATCCGCCGCGCGTGGTTGTGCACGTTTTTCACGTCCATCTTGCAAAAGTTTCGAAAGTCGTGCTCGCCTTCCAACCGTCTCGCCGCGTCGCGCATCTTCTCCAGGTCCAAGCCGCCGTCGTGCAGGGTGAAGAAATACTTGTAATGCCGCCACTCGCAGTCGAACCGCGCGCTGAACGCCTCATCGACGTAGCACCACCCGGTGACCCTTATATCGTCCGGGAGCGCGCGGTTCAGAATCGACGGGTAATCGAGCTCGTCCGCGTCCTTCGCCGGCGGCGGCGGCGACGGCGGCGTGTACCGCGTCTCCCTGTCCACCCGCTCCTCGCGCGACCTGTTCTTCGGTCTCGACGACGCCGTCGGACGCGCGTCCGCGTCCTCGTCCTCGTCCGACGACGTCTGCAACGTCTTGAACACGTCCTCCACTCTCACGACGTCGCGGCGCCGCGCCGCGCGGCGATGGCCGTCGTCGACGCCGCGCGACCGCGCCCGCAGCGACACGAGCTGCCCCATCGCGCTGACGCCCGCGTCGGTTCTTCCGCACCGGGTGTAGTCCACGTCCGTCCACGTCGCGTCGTCCGCGATGAGGCGCGTGCGTTTCAGCGCGGCGAACAGCGCGCCCTCGATCGTCGGCGACCGCGCCTCCGCGGCGTCGTTGCCTTGCGACGCGAAGCCGTGGTAGTCCCACCCCGCGTACGCGACGTGCAGCGCGATGTGGCGCGTGGGGTATTTCGAAAAGTCGATCGGCTTCTGCGGCGGCTTCTTCTTGCCGTGCTTCCGCGCGGGCGCGGGCGCGGGCGCCGTCGTCGCGGGCGCGGCGCGAGGAGGGATCGGAACGTCTTCCGCGAATTGTTGAATTCGCATTCGCTCCGCGAACGCGCTCGCCCCGACGTCTTCCGCGGCGGACCGAAGCCTCCTCGCGAGCGCCTCGCGCGTCTCCGGGGAGTCCTGCCTCCCCGGGAGCAGGACCTCGATCAACTGCCGGACCTCATCGTCCGTCGTCTTGGGTGACATCCTCGACATGGAAGGTGTGATTCAGACGACGGCGGCAGTTCCGAGATGAATCTGATGTGTAAACTTCGATCGAGGAGTACTATTTTTCAGCTCCGCGGCGTGCGTCGCCGCGCGTGGATGAAGTTACTTCACTGTTAATATACAAGCACTTCGCACGCATTTAAATACCTCCAACCAACTTCTTCCCCGTCGCGCCGTTCGACGCGCGCGCCCGCCCCGGCGGTGCGCGATGTTTCCCCTTATTTAATTTATTTACCCCGTCGTTTTTTGTTTTCCCCGTCGTTCAACCCTCTCGCCCCGCGCTCGCTTCCCTCCTTCCTCACGACTCACGAGATGATCTTCTCCAGCGCCGCGAGGTCCTCCGTCACTTTCGCGGTCAACTTCTTGTTCGCCCGCCCCTGCATCGTGCTGAGCTTGCTCGCCGTCGCCGCCGCCCTCGCCGCCGCGGACACCTGCTCGCGTAACTCGTCCGCGTTCATCGTCGATATCCGATCCTCGAGCGTGTTCAACGCGCGCGTGAGCTGATGCACGAGCGCCTTCTCATCCTTCGGCGCCATCGCGTTCGTCCGCGTCGCGAGCACGGCGTCTCTGCGCGCGTCGCCCGGTGATTTCTGCATCGCGCCGAGGGTGCTGCCCCAGGGCGGCGGCGGCAGCGACGCCTTCTTCTTCACGACTGTCCGCTTCTTCTTCCCACCCGCGGGGGCGCTCATCGGCCGCGCGAACGCCGCGGACGCGCGCTCTTTGCGTCCGAGCGCGCTCGCGCCGACGCCAGCGGCGAACTCGAGGTTGTCCCCGATGGAGGTCGGCACCCTCGCCGCGGTCGCGTGCTCGCCCATGGCTTTCCACTTCGGCGGCGGCGCCGCGGACGCGGGGGACCATCCTCGTTTGCCTTCGTACCACCCCGCCATGCCGGACGCGGTGAGCGTCCCGATCGCGGGCGGCGCCGCGCTCGCGGGGCGGCGCTTCTTCTTCGTCGTGACCCCGGCCGCGATCGCGGCGGCGGCGGCTTTCGCCTCCGCGAGCCGCGCGCCCCTGGGCGTGTCCGGTCGGACGTCCATGTCCATGAACACGTCCTTCTTCACGATCGTCTCGCCTTGCATCTCCGGGTGATCGAACGAGACTTCGCTTCCGGGGACGACGCGCAAGGTCCCGAGGTCGACGTTCGAGACCGTGGACATCTCGAGCTCGATGCTCGCGAGCTTCGGGTGCTCTTTCATCGCCTGACCGAGCATCCCCGCGGCTTCTTCGCTGATCTTGTTCCCCTTCAGACGCAACGACGCGAGCTTCGTGTCCTGCCGTAACCCCGCGGCGATGGACTTGATCGTCTCCGTGCTGAGGTTATTGTACGACAAGTTGAGCGACGTCAGCCCGCCGGTGCCGCCGTCGCCGCTGCCGTCGCCGCGGTTCGCGAGGTCCCTCGCCGCGGCGCTGCCGGGGTAGCACCGCAGGTTACTCTCCCACGTCATCGTCGCGCGTCGAGACGCGTGCGCGCGGAGGATCGATCCGATCGCGGTCCCGCTCGCGTCCGTGAGCCCGCACCCGCTCAGGTCGAGCTCGCGTATCTTATTGTTCAGACGCAAGCCGTCGATGAGCTTCGCGAACGAGGCGTCGCCCATGTTGCTGTCCGCGAAGGACAGCCGCACGAGCGATTCGTTCGCGGCGACGCCCTTCGCCATCGCCTCGGAAGCGGCGGCGCCGAGGTTCGAGCCAACCTCGAGCTCCATGAGCGTTCTCGTCTGCTTCAGCTGCGCGGCGACGGCTTGCCCGAGCTTGCGCGCGACGCGCTCGTTCGACAGCGCGGACGCGACCACCTGCTTGCGCGCGGTGACGGCGCGTCCGAGCGCCGCGGCGGATTTCGCGACGGCGGCGACGCCCGCGCCCTCGAGACCGCCTCTGGATTCGCACTTGAGCCTGATCACGGACATCCTCTTCGCCTTCTTCAGGCCGTCCGCGAGGACGCAGACTTCGTCCGCGGCGAGCGGGACGAGGTTCACCGCGATCGCGCCCGCCCTGGTCATGTTCGCCGCGAGGTTCTCCGCGCCGTCCGCGATGCCGGGGCGAAGGAGGCGCTTGACTTCCGTGTTTCGCGAGCTGTTCCACGCCGCGACCGCAGCCTGGCGCGCGACTTGGTACTGATGATTCGATGCGAGGCCCGCGGGAGGGGGGCGCGAGGTCAGCGATCGATGCGCGCGTCGCGGGGGGTGTGGAGAAGGCGCGCGGACGCGACGCCGCGCGCGCGCGGGGTCGCATCTCGCGCGCGACGGATTCGAGGGGGCATAACGACGAACGACGACAGCTGTCGCGCCGCGCGCCGTCGACGACGGGTCCGCGCGCGGGGCGCGGAGGTGAATTCGAGCAGACGCACGTCGGTCTTGATCTTCGGCTCGGCATCGGGGTACAGCCGCAGCTTGCGCTGCTGCTTGACGCCTCCCCAGCTCATGGTGGGACGACTGCGACGCGGGAGGGGGAGTCGATGTCAGAGAAAGCGTTTCGGACGACGAAAGAAAGCGCCACGAACGCCAAACGCGAGATGCGCGGGGAAAACGCGCGACGCGACGCGCCCGAAGCGCCAAAGGCGACGCGCGCGCGCGATATCGCGTGATGATGGGCACGCGAGGGAAGGACTCACGTGCGTGCGAGTCTTCGAGGGCGGAGACGGCGCGCTTTGCGTATGCCCGCTCCGCGCTTCCGGAAGATGTTTTTTTCGTAGCGCGAAGTTGCTGTGGCGTGTCGACTCGAACGAAAATCTCGATCACCGATGAATCTCCGATGAAAAAATGAGACGCGGTTTCACTTCGCTCTCGACCCGACTCATTTGAAACCGACGAAGCGCGACCTCGGTCGAGGCCGCGATCAGCGTCGGCGCACTCGCAGCCCGTTGACGCCCGCCTGCGCCTCCCGGATTTGGACACAACAACGCGGAGGCGCAGCGCGACGCGGGGCGCACCGCGCGCGTCGTTCCTCCGTCCGTGACACCGCGACGAGAGCGGCGAAGACCATCATCGACCGCGCGTCGTCGCCGCCGCCGTCGTCGTCGTCGTCATGAGCGAGACCGAGGACCCCGCGGAGGGCGGCGCCGCCGCGCCGGGGACGCGACCCTCGGAGATGGAGAAGACGTTCCCGCCGTGGAACGAGGAGGCGGTCGTCGCGGACATCAACGCCGCGACCGGGGAAGAGGGCGAGGGGAAGTGGACGGACGCGGAGGAGACCGCGCTGTGCCCGGAGACCATGGCGCCGTACGTGGACGAGTGGAAGCGCCCGGAGGAGATCCTGAAGTCGCAGCCCGAAGTTCCGATGGTGCTGTTGAGAGAGATGAGCGCCGAGGGAGAGGAGGGCGGCGGCGGCGGCGAAGAGACGCCGCCTCCCGCGGACCCTGGCGACGACGGCGACGACGCCGGCGCGCCGCGGTTCGCGAAACCGGAAGGCAACCGCGCGCTCGTGGACGAGAACGTGCTGTACGCGGGCACGAAGAGCGCGGAGTGGCTGTGGCTCGCGATTCGCAACGTCTTCGAGCGCGCCGACGTCGTCGACACCGGGTACTTTCTCTGGGAGAACATATGGCCGAAAGCCGAGGACGGGGTCACCCCCGCGGTGTCCCCGACCGGGAAGTACGCGGTCAGATGCTGGATCATGAACGCGTGGCGGTGCGTCTACGTCGACGACAAGATCCCCCTCGGCCTCTTCGGGAACACGACGCTCGTCGGCGTCCGCCCGTTGATGATCTGGCCGCTCCTCCTGAGCAAAGCGGCGTACAAGCTCGCGCAGCACTACCGCGTCTTACACCGCGAAGCCCCGGACGAGGTTCAGGTCGTGAGCTGGTTCACGGGGTGGGAGCGCGAGAGGCTCGGCGTGGAGACGGACCGCGGGCTACTGTACGACAAGATTCTGGACGTCGTTCGTACGGAGGATCGCGTTCGCGTCGGACGGCACCGCGCGCTGCCGACGGTGTTCCTCAGGGACTACGACGAGCCGCCGATGCGCCCGAAGCTGATCGTGCTGTGCGGTCCGCCCGGGGTGGGGAAGTGCCGGCTCATGGATAAGCTCGCGGCGGAGCTCCCGGAGCGGTTCGGCGTGGTGATCTCGACGACGTCGCACCCGCCGAAGGAACACGAGGCGGACGGGACCAACTACCACTTCCTCGTCAAGGAAGAGTACGAAGCCGCGATCGACGACGGGAAGATGCTCGAGCACGTGCGCTGTCACAGCGAACACTTGGATCTCGAGGGGAAGCGGTACAAGTACGGAACGTCGCTGCAGGCGGTGAGGGAAGTCGCCGGCGGAGGGAAGGTGTGCCTCGCGGCGCTCAACTGGGAGGGCGTCGCGCAGCTCCGCGCCGACCATCGGGTGGAGGCGCACTACGTGCACGTGCACCCGAGAAGCGAACAGGTATTGCGCGAGCGCTTGATCGCGCGTCTGAAAGAGCACGAGAGCACGGTCCAGAAGAGGCTGGAGCACGCGAGGGAGGAGCTCCTCATCGCGCAGCCGGGAGGTCCTCCGAAGCCGCCGGCGGCGGAGGGCGCGGACGCGGACGCGGACGCGGACGCCGCCGCGGAGGAAGGCGATGTTTCGGTCCCCGAGCAGACGACGTACCACGAGGTTCTCCTCGTCGACGACATCGACGAGCTGTACTACCAGATGAAAGTCGCGGTGTCGCCGCTGTCGCCGATCATCCGCAACCGTCTGCGAGGACTGCCGTCGTACATCCTGGACTACTCCGACGTCATCCCGTCGAATAACACGGAGCGACCGATCATCAAACCGGTCGTCTTGACCGGGCCGAACTTTCGCGAGAAGGCGGTCATCGAGAAAGCCGCGCTCGAGGAGTTCCCTGAGGTGTTCGCCTCCCCGAAGATCATCACGACGAAGCCGCAGCGGCCAAAGTACGCGAGCGAGGACGAGCCGGAGGAGCCAGAACACAGCGGGATGACGCACGTGAGCGACGCCGATTTCGACGCCGCCGTCGGAGCGGGCGAGTACGCGGTGACTTGGACGGACCAGTTTGTGCACGAGACGCTCGTGTATCGCTACGCGATTCCGAAGGAGACGCTCGAAGAGGCGGCGAGGGACGAGAAGCTGTGCCTGTGCGTCTTACCCACCGCCGCGGCGTCGGACGCGTTCAAGGAATCGCGGGAAGGGGACGTCATGTCGTTGTACCTCGGCCCCGCGACGATCGAGACGTACGAGGAACGGCTCCGCGCGTGGTTGCGAGAGTCGGACGAGAGCATCGAGAAGATGATGAAAGCCGCCGCGGAGACGAGGCACCGCGGGTTCACGGACGGTCTCTTCGACGTCGAGCTCACGGACGACGACGAGAGCGAAGCCCTGGAGTCGTTCAAGGATATCATCCGTCTCGTGCGCCCGGACGTCATCGCGCCGCGGGATCCGAGCGAGGGAAAGAAGACGCCGAAGCCGGTGATCATCTGCGGCCCCGAAAACGTCGGGAAAAAGACGCTGCGGGATAAGCTCTTCGAAGAGCACGAGGGTAAGCTCGTGAACGTGATTCGACACACGACGCGCGCGCCCGCGGAAGGGGAAGAGGACGGCGTGAGCTTTCACTTTGTCGACCGCGCGACGTTCGAATCTGAGATCGTCGCGGGCGCGTTCGCGGAGACGTCCGAGGAGGACGGCGAGCTCTTCGGAACGTCGCTCGCCGCCGTGCAAGCGGCGACGGACGACGAGAAGATCCCCGTGCTGTGCGACGTCTCCGTCGACGCCGCGCGCGGGTTGAAGGCTAAGTACCCCGACGGCGCGTACTGCTACGTCGCGCCGCCGAACATGGAGGAGTACCGCAGCAGGCTTTTGAACCCGCCGCTCGCGGAAGGGGAGGAGCCGCCGCCGCCGCCGGAACCGGCGGCGCCCGCGGAGGGCGAAGACGCCGACGGCGAGCCCGCGGAACCGGAAGATCCCCCGGAAATCGTCGAGAAACTCGACGCCGCGGCGGTTCACATGGAGATCCTCACGAACGACGACGACGCGGACCTGTTCACGGACGTCATCATCAACGACGAGATTGACTTCGCGTACGGGGACTTGAAGACCGCGGTCGGGCGGTCGCACCCGACGGTCGTCACCGCGCCGCCGAAGCCCCTGGTCATCGCGGGCCCGCCCGGGTCGAACAAAGCGGTCGTGTTCGAAGAGCTCCTGAAGGAGTTCCCGGATAAGTTTGGGTTCCCGCTCGCGAGCACGACGCGCGAGCCCGAGGATGGGGAGATTGACGGCGTGCACTACGCCTTCGTCCCGCGCGAGACGTTTGACGCGGACGTCGACGCCGGGAAATTCGTCGAGTGCACGGAAGTCATCGTCGGCTACGGCGAGTGGGCGGGCGAAGACGTCGGCAACCCGCCGATCACGGTGATGTACGGCACCCCCGCGCGCGAGCTCAAACGCATCGGTTTGGAAGGGAAGATGCCGGTCATGGAGACGGACGCCGCGGGCGCGGCGGCGATGCGCGCCGCCGGCCTCGACGCGGTATTCGTCTTCTTCTCGCACCCGGAGCACGACCCCGCGACGCACAGAGAGAACATCACCGCGCAGACGGGGGAGACGGACGCGGAGACTTTGGAGGAACGCGTCGAAGAAGCGATCGCGGAGCTCGCGGCCGCCCGCGGCATCGTCCAAGTCACCGAAGGCGTCGGCAGAGGGAAAACCAAGCCGGTGTTTCGCGACGTCTTGGCGTACGAAGAGCACGCGGCGAGGTACGCGCGATTCAAAGAAGCGATCGCGTCCGAGGTGCCGTCCGTGGTGCCCATGCACACGGTATGGGGCTTCGGCCGTCCGCGGTGGGACGCGAGCGTCCGAGAGTACGGACGCAAGCCCCTCCGCGCGGCGGTCATCGGCCCCGCGGCGTGCGGCAAAACCACCGCCGCGCGCCAACTCGCCGAGGCGCTCGACGTGCCGCTCATCTACCCCGGTCACCTGCTTCGCCAGGCTGCGTACGACGACCCGACCGAGCTCGGTAAGGAGGCGAAGAGGTACCTCGACAGCACCAGGGTCGTGCCGGACGATTTCATGATGACGCTCGTGAAGGACCGGATCGAGCAGGAGGACTGCGTGACCCGAGGGTGGATTCTCGACGGGTTTCCGCACAACCACTACCAGGCCAAGGCGCTCGTTGACTCCGGGCACTCCCCGGACAAAGTGATCGTCATCGAGGTCGACCACGCGTCCGTGCTCGACCGCACGAGCGGTCGGCTCATAGATCCGATCACGGACCGGATTTATCACAAAACGCACGCGCCCGCGGAGGAAGGGAGCGAGGTGGAGAAGCGGCTGACGATTCGACACGACGACGTCGAGGTCAACGTCCGGAACCGCCTCGCGAAGTTTGATTTCTCCGACGCGCCGGTGCGATCGCTGTTTCCGACGACGTCGCACTACGTCGACGGCCGGAAGTCGATCGCGGAGGTCAGAGGCGCGATCGAGGCGTTCATAAAGATCGAGGACGTCCTCCACGACACGTTCACGCGCACGCCCGCGCTGCGGCTGCCGTGCAAGGAGTACGAGATTCTCGACGTGATGAAGTATAGGCGGATGTGTCTCTTGCGGCTGTCCGAGCCCGGGATGGTGGGCGAATCTCGCACGAAGCCGGTCTGGGTCGACCTCGCGGAGCTCGAGAAGACGGCGAAGAACATCCTCGTGAACCGCAAGCCGGACGTGTACACGCACGCGGCGAAGGATGAGCGTTTGGACATGCTCGACTTGGGACCGGGCGCGGAGATGATTCACGTCGACTCGCCAGAGCCGGTGAAGTTTTTGTTGTCCCTAACCGTGGGGCCGAGGGAGCCGCCGCCGCCGCCGCCGGAGCCGTCGCCGCTCGTGTTGTGCGGCGACGGCGCGGAGGACGTCGCCGCGCTGCTCGTGGAGACGTACCCGGACATCTACGCCATCGCGTCCGTGGAGGAGTTTGTCGAGGAAGAACCCGAAGCGGCGGAGGAAGCCCCCGCGGAGGAAGCCCCCGCGGAGGAAGCCCCCGCGGAGGCGGCGGAGGAAGCCCCCGCGGAGGCCGAGGTCGAGGCCGAGGCCGAGGCGGCGCCCGAGGCCGAGGCGGCGCCCGAGGCCGAAGCCGGCGCGGATGGAGAGGGCGAGGACGCCGCCGCGGCGGAGCCCGAAGCCCCGGCCGGACCGGAACCGTACCCGGGCGCGAAGGACGCGCAGAAAATCCTCGGCGACGGCAAGTGCCCCGTCATTTGCCTCGACGCCGCGGGGACGCTCGCGTTTAAGGCTGCGGGCGTGAAGGGCGCGACCGCCGTCGGCGTCGGCGCGCCGTTCAACTACATCCCCCCGCCGAAGCCGAAGACGCCGGACTCGCAGTCGGGTCGGTCCGACGCGCCCGCGGAGGGCGAACCCGAGCCGGAACCCGAGCCGGAACCCGAGCCCCCCGCGGAGGGAGAGGACGACGAAGGCGGCGCGTCCAAACCGCGCGCGACGTCCAAATTCGACGCCGCGCTCCCTCCCGCGGACACCCCCGAGCTCGTCCTCGAGATGCTCAAGGGCGTCGCCGGCGTGAAAAAGTACCTCCCGATTCCAATCTCCGACGAGCTCACCTCCGTGTGCCACGCGGTGCTGCACGATTTCGACTGGCACGAGACGGGGGCGCCGCAGAGAGTCGTCGCGACGCTCGCGACGTCCACCACGGACGCCGTCGTCGTGTCGCTCCCGCGCGGGCGGCACGTGCTGCAGCTCAGCGTGGACCCCGGCTATTTCTACACCGCGAACGTGCGGTCGCTGACCGAGTTCAACATGGGCGCGCCGACGAAATTATTGGAGGATCTCGAGCTCGCGGCGCCCGCGCAGGCTGACGGCGTCTACCCTGCGGCGGCGACGGGCGACTTCCACGTCTGGTTCCGCCAGACGTTCAAGGTGGAGAAGCCGACGGAAGTCTCCGCGGGTCTGGAAGTCAGCGACAACGCGATGTCCCCATTCGCTCGCTTCGCGGTCGTGAATAACGACGGCCACGCGTCCGTTACGCACTTCGTCGCCGGACAGGCGCCGCCCAAGACGTTCGAGCCCAACGAGCACGGGTACACGGTGATGGCGTACAGCAAGGCGCTCTCCGACGTCCCCGCCGGGAGGTGGCGACTGTCCGCGCTCGCGGACGTGCCGCTGGTGGACTGGGCGGAGATGCCGACGTCGGACCCGGCGACGTTCGCGGGGACGTACGCGCCCAACTACGCGCACTTGATCTGTCGGTTCCGCCTCGCGATCACCGAGCGGTCGCTGCTCGCGTTTCATTTCGACTCGGACGTCCCCGCGGGATTGAAGGTGACGATGACGGATCCGGAGGAGGGGTGGGAGACGAAGCAAGCGGAGTACCTGCGAGGCGGGCACAAGGGCCACCTCCACGGCACGGAGGTGCACCGTTGGAACGCGTACACGGTGCTCACGGTCCCCGCGCTCGCGTTCGAGCCCATGGAGAACGGTCTCGGATACGTCGTCGTCGAGGTGAAGCTCGACAACGCGCGATGCGGGTTCGACGTCCAGCCCAACGGGGACATCCCCGCGCCGTTGACGTGGAAGCTGACGTGTTACTCGTCCGCGCCGGACGCGACGACGTGGACGGAGGACACCGCGCGAGCGGATTACCTCGAGAGCACCGTCGAGGCGTGGAATTCGGAGGACGCGGAGCGACAGGCGAGGGCGGAGGCGGCGTTGGCCAAGTGGGAAGCCGCCAAGCGCGGCGGTCGACGCGAAGCCGTCGTGAAGGAAGTCAGAGAGAGAGAGGGCGACGGAGGCGAGGGCGGCGGCGACGAGGAGAGGGTCACGATCACGCTCGCGCCGGAGGAGCGGAGAGTCGTGCGAAAAGGCGGGGCGCTGTCGGACGCCGCGTACAGAGCGATGATGGAGCGGCCGGAGGTGTTGCGGCCCAAGGAGCCGCCGCCGGTGGTCGTGACGGAGGACGTCTACGCCGAGCGCGAGGAAGCGTTGAAGCGGCGGATCGAGGAGAGCAAGGCGCGTCTGCAGGCGTTCGTCGCGAAGCGCGAGGCGATGAAGCAGAGCCGCGAGAGCGCGAACCGGCAGAAGAGCGCGGAGTTTGCGACGTGGCGGGAGTTGCAAAAGACGAAGCGGTTCGGGGAGGTGGCTGGGAAGCGCGCGGCGTACTTGGAGTCCATCAAGCCGCCGCCGGAGCCGGAGCCGACGGCGGAGGGGGAAGGGGAGGGGGAGGTCGTCGACGGCGGCGACGCGATCGAGCCCGGGCCCGAGGAGATCGACGTCGGGGCGTAGACCGACGGCATAGTCTATCGTATCAAATAATAAACGGCTACGTGACGACGGTTACTCGCTCGCGACGATTCGCGTTCGCGTCCCGTCTACGTGTGTCATCAGCGTCTCTCTGCTCTCTGCGCTCTGAAAAGCTAGCTTTATCCATCTCGGAACGCGCGCACTTCCGCTTCGCGCGCCGCCACCGATGCACGCGCTCGCCGCCGCCGCCTCTTCCGCCGCCCGCACGCGCCCCGCGCGCGGCGCGACCGCGCCAGGCTCGAAGACGCGACGCGGCGTCTCCGTCGTCCGCCGCGCGAAGCAAGCGACCGGGACGGAGACGGAGGAGCCCACCGCGGACGACTTCGCGACGTTCAACGCGCTCGTCAGCGGCGGCGACTGGGAGCTCGTCCAGAAGAACGTCCGCGCCGCCGCGGTCGAGGGAAAGCTCACCCCCGGCGTCCTCGGCGCGGCGTACTCCGTGCACCAGAAGTGCGTCGCGAGCGGCGAGCCCCCGGAGGTGGTGCAGACGCTCCAGAACGTCATCCAACTCTTCACGCAGACGATGCAATCGCTCAAGGTGCATTCTATACACTGGTCCCCATACGACCGCGTCGGCGTGGTGAACGCCGTTCCTTGAGGACTTTTCCCGGCGTTTCTCTCCGCCCACCCCTCGCTTTCAATCCACGCCCTCGACGCCTTTCAACTTCAACTGACGCCTTTGAACTCCACCCCGACGTTCGCTCGTATGGAACGACCCTCGAGGCGACGCCCGCGGTGCGAATGGTGGACGAGCTCATGACGTTCGACCCGTTCACGCAGCAGGACGCGGTCGAGGGCGTCATCGCGTCGGGCGACGTCGAGAGGAACGCGCTCGCGGAGACGATTCAGATGATGTTAGACGGGATGTCCGAGAGCGACGCGGCGTGGGAGGCGCACGTGGCGAGCGCGGTGGAGACGAAGAGTAAGGCGCGTTCTATACACTGGTCCCCATACGACCGCGTCGGCGTGGTGAACGCCGATCCTTAAGGACTTGTCCCGGCGCATCTCTCCGCCCACCCCTCGCTTTCAATCCCCGCCCTCTGCGCCTTTCAACTCCAACTGACGCCTTTGAACTCCACCCCGACATCGCTTTGTATGGAACGACCCTCAGGAGGAGTTCGAGCAGCTCGTCGTGCACGCCAACGGACGCATGGAGGCGAAGCGGCGGCTGTCGCAGCTGAAGGTGCTATGCGACAGGTGATTCGTTGGGGTGATGCGACGCGACGCGTGGGGTTGAGTGGGGGGGTTCTGATGCGTGGGACGGAAGGAGGGAGGCGCGGAGAAGGCGGACGCGGGGACGACGACCAGACGCCGCGCTCTTTTTGACGACAGGATGCGGACGGGATGCGACGAGAGTCGTCCCCCGCCGCGCCGCGCTCCGACTCGCTCGTCCACCGCGCTACGTAGACTACTTCGCCGCGCTTCGCTTGAGCTTCTCGCGCACGCTCGCGAGCCTCTCGCGCACGTCCTTGGCTAACGTCCTATCCCTCGACGCGGCCGCGAGCGCGTCCATCACCGCCGCGCGCTTCGACAACCCGACGCGAATCTCCTCCGACACGGCAACGAGCGATTCTAAACATCGCAACGCCTCCGCCGCCTCCTCCGCCTTCTCCTCCGCCTTTGCTCTTCCCGGCTTCTCGCCGCGTCCGGACGCCAACGACACGAGGAGCTCCCCCGCGCTCTCCTCGATCGCGGGCGCGAGGTAGGTCGCGTGCCCCGCGGAGATCATCGCGTTCAAACGCGAGAGCCCGGTCCTTCGGAAGACGCCGTCGTCGCTCCGCAACAACTTCACCGCGCTCTGCGACGTCCCGCCGCCGACGATGGGCGCGACGTAGAACCCGATGTACGCCGCCGCGCCGATGGACGTCAGCGTCACGAGGTGTCTCCTCAGAAAGCTCTCGTTCGCGTCCATCTCGGCCTCGATCTTCGCCGCGGGGACGCGGACGAGGTACTCCTTCGTGTTCGCGCCCGCGATGGACGTCGACGACGCAAACGCCGCGTCCGACGACGACGCGCCGGACGCGCCCGCGGTCTCGCCGCTGAGACGACGAAGACGGGCGGACGACGACGACGACGACGACGACGACGACGACGACGACGACGCGGGTGGAGAATGCCGCGTCGTCGTCTTCACGGCCGCGCGGCCGAGCCGCGACGCGAGCGCGCGGATCATGCTCGGCGCGCGCGAATGTGTGCTGGAAGCCGCGCCGCGTCGCGTCGCCCGTCGCGTCGTCGCTCTCTCGCGGTTGACCGGCCGCGCCGTCGCACGGCAATCGCCGCGACGCGAGACCGACGCAAAACGAAACGTTATTCTTCATCAATTAAAACGAAGCGATGCGATGCGCGCGCTCCTCTCTCTCGTCCACGTCTATCGCGCCGACGGACTCAGAAGAGCCTTCGCGACGACCGACAGCAACCGCCGGCGGGACGAAGAATCCCCGCTGGACGACGACGACGAGTCGTCGTCTTCGGACTCCATCTCCGCGGCGATGATGGGCGCGAATATGTACCCCAACACCGCGATGACCAACAGCGCGAAGATCATCTTCAGCTTCGCGAGCCTCCACCACATCATCTTCTTGATCTGCTCGCTGCGGCGGTTGAACTGCTGCGCGCCGGCGCGCAGACCCTCCGCCTTGTCCTCCACCGCGCCCACGGTTTCCGCGTTGTCGAGCATCTTGTTGATGTTCCCTTCCATCACCGCCTTCACCTCGTTCACCTGGTTCCCCACCGCGGTGATCTTGTCAACCTCCGCGAGCTCCTCGTACTTCAACGCCGCGTCGCGGACGAACGGCAGCGCGCTCTGGTACTCCATCGCGCGCTGCGCCCCGGCGACGCCCCCCGCCGGGACGACGTCGTCAACCTGCGATCGAATCTCGTCCAACAGTCGAAACGCGCTTCGACGCGGGTAGTTCGGCGCGGTGATGACCGCGATGACGTCGTCCTCGCCCGCCGCGAGATGCAGCGTCCCGATGTTGTGGTCGATCGTGACCGTGAGCTGGGACTTGGCTTTCAGGTTCCCGCTCGTGAGCACCTTGTTCGCGGTCTCGATCGTCGCCGCGTTGGCGTGTTTTTTGAAATGTGCGAGCGCGAGGCCGTCGCTCAGTCGCGCGAAGACGACGTAGCGCACGTTCTTTCCCCCCTCGGTCGCCATCGTTCACGTCGAGATCAGAGCGCGCCGTCCGTTGGCGTTCTTTTCTGGTGTCTCCTCGACGCGAGGAGCGGAAGCGGCGGTCGCGGGTGTCCCCGAGCCGCGCGTCGTGCGGACGGACGGACCCGAGGGGCGGATCTCGCGGGGGCGAGATCACGCGGTGCCTCGGGTGGACGAAAAAGACCGTTCACGTCGAGCGACGCGCGGTGTCGTCCCGGAGCGCGAGGGCGCTGGGTACCTCCTCGGAGGCGACGGAGGCGCGCGTGAGGCGCGTGCGAAGCGTAACGCGCGCGTGCGGTCTGCGCGCGGGCGTCGGCGCGGCTCGAGGAAGCGTCGCGCGCGCGGGATCTCGCACACTTGGCACAAAACGAATCATTCTGGTGTCGAAGCCGGGCCGGGCGAGCTCGAGCTCGACGACTTGACGGCGCCGATTCCTCGGGAGCGCCGCGCCACTACTCGCGCCGCGCGTCGTCCGACGCGCACGCCGCGCATCATAGCGATACGCTCGCTTCGGCGCGCGCTCGCCGTCAGTCTACACGCCCAACGCGGCGGCGGCGGGTTCGACGCCTCCGGTCTCCTCCGCCGCGCCGTCCGAGCGCTGACCGACGGCGCCGAAGCGTTCGGCGGCGGGGAATCGGACGAGGAGAACGACCGCGCGTCGTCGTCGTTCGACATGTCGCTGGTGTCGCACGAAACGCCGCCGCCCCCGCCGGAGGGGTACTCCGTCGTCACCGAGGGCAAGGCGCGCATCTTACAGCGCGCGAACGAGGCGTTCTACAACAAAGCCCAGGTCGTGAACCGCGACCTGTCGCTCGCGGTGATTCGGCAGTTCCAAAGGGCGCGAGCGACGGAGCACGAGACGGAGAAGCGAACGCCGAAGAACCGACGCATGAAAGGGCTGATGTGCGCGACGCCCAGGGACAGCGCGATCCTGCCGTACCTCCTCACCGCGGACGAGATCGAGGACATGTACAAGAGCCAGCTCGAGCACGAGCGCGACGACGCGGAGAAGGCGGCGAAGGAGGGCGGCGGCGGGGGCGGCGGGGGCGACGGCGGTACAGCTGGCGGCGGCGGCGAGAAGAGAGAGGGCGAAGAAGACGCCGACGCGCCGCCGAAACAAAAGCCGCCCTTGAAGCCCATCCGCGTTCTCGAGGGCATGGCCGCGTCCGGGTTACGAGCGGTGCGGTACGCGCGCGAGCTCGAGGACCTCGGGTGCGTCGTCGCGAACGACTTGGACCCGCGGGCGATCGCGTCCATCGCTCGAAACGTCGAGTACAACGCGAAGTGCTCGGAGGACGCGGCAACGCGAATGAAACGCATCGTGTGCGCGTCCGGGGACGTCCGGATGCTCATGATGCAACACGAGAAGATGTTCGACGTCGTGGATCTGGATCCGTACGGGACGCCGTCGACGCTGCTCGATGGCGCGGTGCAAACGGCCGCGGACGGGGCGTTACTATGCGTCACTGCCACGGACATGGCGGTGCTCTGCGGGAACAACGGCGAGGTGTGCTGGACGAAATACGGCGCGTACCCGCACCGCGCGAAGTACTGCCACGAGCAAGCGGTGCGGATTCTCCTCGCGTCCATCGACGCCGCGGCGTCGCGGTATAAGCGCCACATCGTCCCGATGATATCCGTCTCGATCGACTTTTACGTCCGCGTCTTCGTTCGGATCTACACCTCCGCGAAGGAGTGCAAGATGGCGGCGTCCAAGGTGTCGTACGTGTACCAGTGCGTCGGATGCGACACGTTCGCGCTGCAGCCCGTGGGGAAATCTGTCACGAAGGGCGAAAGCACGAAGTTCCAGCCCGGGAGCGGCCCGTCCGTGCCGGAGAAGTGCCCGAACTGCGGCTGGCACTGGAACGTCGGCGGGCCGTTTTGGTCCGAGCCAACGCACGACATGGGCTTCGTCGCGGACGTCAAGAAGCACGTGGAGGGCAACAAGGACATGTACCCGGGGTACGATAAGATCCACGGGCTCTTGACGACCGTCGAGGAGGAGCTCCCGGACGTGCCGCTGCACTACGACATTCACTCGATGTCTATGTGTCTGAAGGCGACGCCGCCGCCGATGCCGTTGCTGCGATCCGCGGTGATAAACGCGGGCTACCGCGTCTCGAGCGCGCACAGCAACCCGCTCGCGATCAAGACGGACGCCCCCGCGGAGGTCTTATGGGACATCCTGCGGTGCTGGATCAAGGAGCACCCGGTGAAGGCGCAGCCGACGAAGACGCCCGGGTGCGTCATTCTGTCGAAGGAGCCGACGACCGCGGCGAATTGGACGCGCGTCGCCGGCGCGTTCACGAAGGCGCAGCGAGAGAAGGTGACGAGGTTCCCGCGGAACCCGGAGGAGAACTGGGGGCCGAAGCAACGCGCGGGGCGGCCGGAGGAGGGGAGGGTCGGGAGGCAAGGACACAAGAAGCGGCGGACGGGGTGATCGATGGACGCGTGCGACGCGAAGCGGCGGCGACGCGGGTGACTGTCATCAATGTAATCCCTCGGAACTCGTCATCACGTGTCGTCGCGAAACACGCGTCTGCGTCTCCGCCTCTCCTCGTCCAAATTCATCATTACGCACGGGCGCGGGGCGTGCGTAACCCGCGCCGCGCCGCGCGAGATGTGCCCCATGCGATGGGTCCTCCTGCTCTTCTCCGGGATCATCGCCGGGTACCTCGCGTGGACGTCGTCGTGGTTCAGCGCGTCGGGTGAGGACGTCGGGGAGGCGCCGCGCGGCGGCGACGAGGGCGCGCGCCGAGGGCGAGCGACGGCGGACGGGGGGGTCGCGAGCTGGGCGCGGTTCGCGATCGACGGGCTCAGCGGGCGGTACCTGTACATGATGCTGCACGCGAGCAGGAAGGACGCCGCGGGGAAGGGCGGCGCGGAGGGAGGGAGGATCACGCGCTCGCGGTCGAAGAAGACGAGCTGACGCGCCGCGCGCGCCGGGGATCCTTCCATCACATTTAGATCAGCACGGGAGCGTCCGATAGAGTCGCGACGAGCCCGGGACGGCGCGGTACAAAGTACGAAGCTTGTACTTAGACAGATAAGCGCGTGATTGATGAAAGAAAGAAAGAATGAAAGAAAGCTCATCCGACGTCATCACAACGATAACAGCTAATTAAGCCATCAAGACGGCGCCCCCAAGTACTGCGCGACGCGAAGCACGTCGCCGAAGACGCCGCCGGCGGTGACCTCCGCGCCCGCGCCCGGCCCCCGGACCACGAGCGTCCCTCCCGACGCGTATCGCTTCGTCTCGAACGACATGATGTTATCGCTCCCGGAGAGCGCACCGAACGGGTGCGTCGCGGCGTACCGGCGCAGCTCGACGGACCCGGTCCCGGCCTCGACGTCGACGACGCCGACGTACCGAAGCTTCTCGCCAGCCGCGGTGGCCTCCGCCATCTTCGCCGCCATCTCTGTGAGGGCCATTCCATACAAGCGAATGTCGGGGTGGAGTTGAAAGGCGTCAGTTGGAGTTGAAAGGCATCGAGCTCGGGGATTGAACGCGAGGGGTGGGCGGAGAGATGCGCCGGCAAAAGTCCTTAAGGATCGGCGTTCACCACGCCGACGCGGTCGTATGGGGACCAGTGTATAGAACGCGCCTCCGTCGTGCTCGGGGAGCGCCGCTAAAAACGCCTCCGCGCTCTCCGCGTCGCGCAGCGCCTCGGGGACCAACGACTCGACCGGGACGTCGCTCAACTCGAGATCCAGGCCAACCTCGCGCGCGAGGATGACCACCTTCCTCGCGACGTCCGTGCCGCTGAGGTCGTCGCGCGGGTCGGGCTCCGTGTACCCGAGCTCCTTCGCCTTCTTTACGACGTCGGAGAAGGCGTCGCCGTCGGCGTACGTGTTGAAGATGTAGGACAGCGTCCCGGAGAAGATCCCCTCGATCTTTTTCACGCGGTCGCCGGAGTCGACGAGGTTGCGCACGGTGGAGATGATCGGCAGCCCGGCGCCGACGGTGCCCTCGTAAAAGTAGTGCGTGTACCCGTCGCGCGCGATCGATCGGAGCTCCTTGTAATAATCCAACGGCCCGCTGTTCGCTTTTTTGTTCGGGGTGACGACGTTGATGCCGCGTTGGAGCCACTCCTTGTAGTGCGACGCCACCTCCTCGGACGCGGAGCAGTCGATGATGACCTGGTTCGGCGCCCCGGAGTCGACGACGTGCTGCGTGAACGCGGCCATGTCCACCGGCGTCGCGCTCGCCTTGTAATCCTCCTGCCACGTGTCCAGGTTCAACGCGACGTCGTCGTCGCCGGTGAGGAGCATCTTCGAGACGCCCGTGACGCCGACGACTCGGAGGTCGACGCTGAAGTCCGTCTTGAGCTCGGAGAGCTGCTCCTTCATCTGTCGGAGGAGCGTCTGCCCGACGAGCCCGGGGCCGACGAGGCCGACGGTCATGACCGTCTTGCTGAGGTAGAAGCGGCCGTGCACCGCGTTCAGCGCCTTGGTGACGTCGTTCTTGTCCACGACGACGGTGATGTTGTACTCGGACGCGCCCTGCGCGATCGCGATGACGTTCACCGCGGACGACGCGAGCGCTTCGAAGACGCTCGCGGCGACGCCGCAGACTTGGCACATGTTCTGGCCGACCACGGCGAGAATCGAGCAGTTTCTCACCGCGGTGACTTCCTTGATCCTCCCCGCCGCGATGGCCTTCTCGAAGCGTTTCGAGAGCGCGGTGATGGCTCGGTCGGCGTCGTGCGACCGCACCGCGAAGCAGATCGAGTGCTCCGAGGACGCCTGCGAGATCATCACGACGTTGCAGTTCGCCTCCTTCACGGTCTGGAACACCGCGTTCGCGGTCCCGGGGACGCCGACCATCCCGGTCCCCTCGACGTTGATCAGGCACACGTCGTCGATGGTGGCGAGGCCTTTGATGAGGCTCGCGTCCTCCGCGCTGCCGCAGACGACGTCGGTGTCGATGGGGCATCCGTCGAGAATAGACGTTCCCGGCGCGGCTTGGTTGAAATAGTTCCTCAGGACGATCGGGATGGAGTACCTCATCGCCGGGAGCGTCGTCCGCGGGTGCAGCACGTTCGCGCCAAAGTACGACAGCTCCCACGCTTCGTTGTACGAGAGCGTGTCGAGGCAGACGGCTTCTTTGACTTTCCTCGGATCCGCCGAGTACACGCCGTCGACGTCCGTCCAGATCGTGATCTTCGCCGCGATGAGCATCGCGCCGAAGATGGTCGCGGAGTAATCGCTTCCGTTCCTCTTCAGCGTCGTCGGGACGCCGTCGGGCGTGCGCGCGATGAACCCGGTGGCGATGAGAATCCGCCCCGCGCCCTTCTCGCCGTGCCCGCAGTCGTTGAAAATCTTATCCAGGTTCGCGTTCGACCGTTCGTAATCGACGTCCACGCCGCCATCTTCCGCGTCGGTGACGATCAAAACGTCCCTCGCGTCGATCCACTCCGCGTCGTAGCCCTTGCATCGAATCGCCGCCGCGCACAGCCGCGCGGTCCAGAGCTCCCCGTGCCCGACGACGAAATCGGCGAAGGCTTGCGTCGACGTCCCGGCGATTGACATCGCCTTCAGCATGCTCGCCAGGTCCGTCAGCTCCGCGTCGAACGCGGACATGTACGCGTCGAACTCGGACTTATCCGTCAGAAGCGCCTCCGCGGTGGTGCGGTGCTTATGCTCGAGCTTGACGAGCTCCTCCGCGTACGCGGGGTCTCGCGCCGACGCCATGTCCGTAGCGTTGATGAGGCAATCCGTCACCTTCGGCTCGCCCTTCTTCGCGACGCCCATCGCGGAGACGACGCCGAAGATCTTCACGCCCGCCTTGGCGTTCGCGATGAGCAGGTCGCAGCAGCCGGAGATGCGCTCGCTGCTTCCCACGCACGTGCCGCCAAACTTGTGCACCTCGAATCCGGAGTTGCGGTCGACGCCGCCGGCGCCCGGGGAGGGCGCGGCGGCGGGCGCGGGCTCGATCTCGACGCTGCGCGCGACCGTGCGCGGGGTCGCGGGCGCGCGCGGCGCGCGCCTGGGCGCGAGCTTGAGCGCGCGCGCGCGAGAGCCCGTGAACGGGGACCGGCGCGCGGCGGCGGCGGCGGGCGCGGTCGCGATCGCGGAAGCCATCGTCGTTCGTCGTGCAGTCAGTCGCTTTTTCTTCGCGGGTTTAGGCGTCGAATCGGATTTCACGCGGTCTCCTGGGACGCCTCTGCGCGGAGCGTTCGAGCGACGACGACGCGCGATGTCACGGAAGTGCGATCGCGAGCGCGAGCGCGGTTGAGATCGACCGCCGCGACGTGTGTGCGTCGCGTGCGCGTGCCCAAGTCTCGCGGGGGGAGGGAGGGATCTATCTCTCGGGGGATAAACAGAAACCTGCAGAAACCCCGAAACGCGTGATCGGAGATCCGCTGCCTGCCGAGCGCTGCCGGCGCTCGCGACGGGAGCCGCATTATCGATCGCCGCCCAACACTGAGATCGGCGCGCCGCCGGGCAGCGCACGCCATGTCGTGCGACCCCGAGGCGCTGCTGCAGTTCAAGAGCGGTCAGCTCAAGCAGCGGGTGCGTTTGCCCCCCGTTCGCGCGTCGTTCGCGCCGCCGCCGCCGCCGCCGCCGCGGCGGAAGCCCCGCGCGCCGCGCCCGACGATCGCGATTTATTTCTCCCGCGCGGAATCCGACGAACGCGCGCGCCCCGCGCGATCGAACGAACGATCGATCGATCGATCGCGCGCCTCCGCGCCCCGCCCTCCTCCTCGCTGACCCCCCGCGCCCCATCCCATCCCCCTCTTCGCGACGTACAGCTCGAGGTGTACAGGCAAGAGATCGCGTCCGCGGAGGCGGAGGCGGCGTCGCTGCGCAGGAAACAGGCGGCGTACGAGGAGCGCATCAACGTCGTCGCGTCGGAGTGGAACACGCTTCAGGATGACGTCTGCGCGCTCGCCGCGCGCGCGGGCGTCGCACCCGCGGCGTCGACGAACGACGTCTCGCACGCGGACGTGAAGGACCCGTTCCTTCGAAGGCTGCTGCAGACGTCCGAGCCGAGCGTCGGGCGGAAGCGCGCGAGGGACGACGACGACGACGCCAAAAAAGCAAAGGGAGACGAAGGCGACGCGTCCGACTCGGACGAGGACGGCGCCGCGCGCGCGGAGGGCGGCCTCGACGCGGACGCGAAGAAGGCTGTCGCCGCGCTCAAGCTCCGCGCGACCGCGGTGAAGGCGACGCTGACGACCGTCCTCGACGCGCTCGACGCCGCCAACGCCGACGCGGGGAGAGACGCCGACGACGTCCTCTCGGCGACGCGGCGGCGGCTCGCGACGCTCGAGGCGGACCACGGCGCCGCGGTCGCGGAACTCCAGAGACTCCGAGAGATCACGACGAAGCAGCGCATTCGGAACGAAGAGCTCGGGGATAAGCTCGAGGACGTCACCGCGGAGGTGGAGCTCCTGCGACGGTCGCTCGCGGGCGCGAGGAGCCGCGCGGGGGAGATCGAAGGGCTTCCGCCGATGGCGACGGCGCAGGGCGCGCGCGCGGCGGCGGGCGCGGCGGCGGTAGCGGCGGCGGCGGCGAACACCCCGGGTGGTGGGCCCGTGCCCGGGACGCCCGGGATGACGCCCGCGACGGTGAAGCCGGGGGGGAAGACGGTCGGGGGCGCGGTTCCGGTCACGCCGGGGCCTCCGATGTTCGACGGCGCGGAGCAGCCCGCGGACGGCGGCGGCGGCGGCGGCGGCGGCGGCGCGGACCCCGTCGAGATCCTGCGGCTGGAAGGCCTCGTCGCGGAGCTCAAAGGCAGGGTCGACCACGCGGGGAAGCAGCTCGACGAGCAGATGAACGTCAACGCGAAGCTGAAGAGCGAGGCGAACAAGCTGCGCGACGCCGCCGAGGACGACTCGCGCGTGTCCGCGTCGAAGCCGTACCAAGCGCTTCGGCAACAGCTCGCGTCCGCGACGGAGGACGCGAAGCGGTTCAAGGACGCGGTCGCTTCCTTGCAGCGCGAGGGGGAGGGCTTGCGCGCGGAGCTCAGGCACGCGTCGCTCGCGGCGAGCAAGGCGGAGAGCGAGTACCGACGCGCGCAGCTGGCGGAGCAACGCGTCGTCGACGTCGAAAAAAGGTTGGACGCGGTTTCTCGCGAGCGCGACGACGTCGCGTTCAAGCTGTCGCAGACGTCCGAGAGCGCGTCGCGGAAGAAGCTCAACGAGGAGCGGGCGACGCTGCTGGAAAAGCTGCAAAAGGAGAACGCGGAGCTGCGTGCGGAGGCGACGAAGGCGCGGTCGATGAGGAAGGACGTCGACGACGCGAAAAAAGCCGCGGCGGAGGCGGCGAGCGAGGCGGCGGCGGCGCGGGCGGAGGCGGCGGACGCGAAGAAAGCGCTCGAGGCAGCGCGCGGGGGCAAGGCACCCGAAGACGGCACCCCCGAGGCGCTCGCGGATAAGCTCGCGGAGGCGCGGCGGGCGGCGGCGGCGGCGGAGTCGAAGGCGAAAAACGCCGAGGACGCGCTCGAGGAGAAATCCGCGGAGAGCGAGGCGTTCATGGCGGAGATGGAAGCGATCGGCGCCGCGTACGAGGAAGCGCAGACGGAGAACGCGCGTCTGATGTCCAGACTCACGGAGAGAGACGGCACGGAGCAGCAGGCGATGACGGAGAAGGTCCAAGCGCAGGCGCTCGCGAGGAAGTTGAGGGAGGAAAAAGCCGGGCTCGAGGCGGCGGTGGCGCACGAGCGCGGCGCCGCCGTCGCCGCCGCGAATCGCGCGTCCAGGGTCGAGGCCGCCGCCGCGGAGCGCGAGGCGGAGCTCGCGCGCGCGATAGAGGAGACCCAGTCCCTCACGAAGCGCGTGGAGGAGCAGACGAACACGTTGATGCAGGTTCAAGAGAGCGCGAGCGAGCAACGCGCGGCGGCGGAGTCGGCGCGGAAACGCGTCGACGGGTTGACGGACCGCGCCGACGCGGACGCGAAGGCGGTCGCCGCGGCGGAGCGCCGGGTGAAGCAGTGCGAGGAAGAGATCGCGGGGTTGAAGAAGCGGAACCAGAAGCTCACGAAGATTGGCGGCAGCAACGACGAGATGAAGGAAGAGGTGGACGCGTACAAGAGCATGATGCGATGCAGCGTGTGTAACGACCGCCTCAAGGGCGTCATCATCACGCGGTGCTACCACATGTTCTGTCAGGAGTGCATACAGACGAGGATCGATAACAGGGCGAGGAAGTGCCCGGGGTGCGGCGCCGCGTTCGCGGCCGCGGACGTCAAGCCGATCTACTTCTAAACGACCGCACCAGTGTAAAGACGACGACAGACGACGTGAACGCGACGACGCGACGTATCAATCGCATCATCGCAACGCGCGAAAAAACGAAACTACTCGGAGACGCCTCCGTAGAACCGCATCGCGTTCTCTCTCGTCACCCTCGCCGCTTCCTCCGCGCTCCACCCTTTCGCCTCCGCGATGAACGCGAGCATCGTCCGCAAGTCCGCCTCCGCGCACTCCGGGGAGACTAAGTCGCTCTCTAATAACAGGCGATCGGAAGGCACCGCGCGGACCACCCCCGCCGTCTTCGGCGAGCGCAAATTCACCACGGCGCTGAAGCCGAAATAAAACCGATCCCCCCATCGCTTCATCCGCACCAACGAGTCCACGAACGCCTCCGTGCCGCCGTACGAGTGCATCAAAATCCTCGGCGGCATCGACGTCCGCGCCCGGAACCGATCCCCGAGGTCGCCGTACGCGCGCACGCAGTGCACCGCCGCCGGTCGTTCCAGCTCCGCCGCCAGCGCCAGCTGCGCGTCGAAGCACGCGAGCTGGTTTTCGTAATCCGGCTCGCCGATCTTCTCGCCGCGGTCGTTCATCGGCACGGCCACCTTGTCCAGGCCGATCTCGCCAACGATCGCGCCGGGGAGTTCGTCCGCGAGCTTCGATCGCAGCGCGAGGAGCCACGCGTCGTCGTCCCTGAGTTTGTGATGATGCGCCCACCAAGGGTGCAATCCCAAGGCGACCCCGAACCCGGGTTTCGTCCTTCCGTCTTCCGCGCCGTCGAACGCGGCGGCGGCGGCGGCCGACGTGGCGGTCCAGTCCGGCGGCTCCGTGGACGTGAACGCCGCGCCCGCGAGCGACTTGGCGAGCGCGACCGCGTCTTTACGCGCGCCTCGGAGGTGCCAGTGGCAGTGCGCGTCGAATATCGACGACGACGGAATCGCCTTCGCCTCCGATGCGAGCGCCGCGGACACCGCGACGCCGCCGCCGCCGCCCTCGGTCGCCGTCGCGTCGTCCGCGGCGACGCCTTCGGCGACGTCTCCTATCTCCTCCCCCTCGCCGGCCATCGCGGCGACGACGACGCCGGCGGTCGCGAACGACGCGCCGGACATCCCGTCGCGTTCGCCGCGGTCGGTCTCTTCGCCGCCCTCTTCGCCGCCGTTTTCGCCGCCGCCGCCGCCGCCGCCGCCGCCGCCGCTGCCTCCGTCGCCGCCGCCGCTCCCGCCGCCGCCGATCGCCGCGGCCTTCGGCCACACACGAGACCTCCACCCCGATGTCCACCGCCCCTCCCTCCTC